CAGGAGCGGGCATGTTGAGATTCCGCTTACGGTGCATTGCACTTTTTACAAGCAATTAAAGCCCGGGCTGGCCTCGCTGAAGGGGGCCTGGGGAATAGAAGAAATGTAGAAATGTGCCAGTGAAATGTCTGGAGGCAGCTGTAAATGAATAATGAATGCAATTCAGCGAAAAATATATTCAATTCAATTTCGATGCGTCACTCGAACGCCGCTCGTCGCTTATTAATTTATGACAGTCATTTTTAACGCTTTGCTGCCCACGTTGCCCCTGCAAGTGACAGTTGATTTCGACTCTGGCTCGTCCCTGGCCACGCCCCTCTAACACCAGGCCCCCAACTCCTGCCCCTCCTATCCCTGCCACGGTGGCATGCGTCAAATATTTCAGAGCCATTTTTCAATTGAATTGAATGAATTTCTGAAATGAGTGCATGAATGCTGGAAGAAATGCAGGACAAGAAAAATCCACGCGTTTGTATACTTTGCCATCGTTCGGGTGGATTCGCTTTTGGATGGAGGATGGCCAGTGCTAGTACTGCTACTTGAATTTCAAAGGATGGTTGACTGTTTCAGGGGATATTTGGTAGTTGCAGGAAGGGTGTGGCGCTAGTCCACACTCCGAAGCGATCCACCCATGCAACTTGTTCTAGCCTGAAATGATTTGTGTTCGGCCTCTTTGTTGACGGGCCTCGAGGGCGGAATGGCCCATTTGGCCTGGCTTAGAGTGGCCATATTTCACGCTCCTCTGATGGGCCTTGTCAACGTTCGCCCCCTTCGCTGCGCCCCGGCTGCCCGAACCCCGTTGACTGGGCGCTGACTGGCGCATCCACGGACATGGACATGGACACGGACAAGGATATTACGCTTTAATTAAGTACAAGCCCACTGCAATTGCATTTCGTGGCTACCGCTCTTGAGCTAATAAAACATTCAAAATATTTTGTCGGCTCGTTTCTTGGCCGGAGGCGTGTGTAATTTTGCACATTTCATATGAAAAGTTGCGGGGCCCACGCAGGAAACTTTTTCAGCCAGCCACAATGGCAAACAGCATCCTTCTTGGCACAGTGGGTGCTGGATCCAAATTATCAGATAGTTTCTGAAGACCCCCAACGACGTGTAACTTCGCTAAAGGAGATGTTTCTTTCCTCCCTGGCGAAGCCCTATCAAAAACATCCATGAATTCAGGGCGTAGACTTCGTGAAGCATCCACAGTGCCTAAGAAAAGTTTCTTCTCGCCAAAGATTAACAGAAACCAGGGGCCTGGTCAGGGGGGGAAGGGTGTGTGGAACAAGGGGGGTTTCCAGGGGCGTGCGTGTTTCTGGCGGCGCATGTTTGGCAATGCGGTAAACCAAATTATGTGCTTAGTAACTTGCCACTGCAACCGAAGTCGGTGCAACCACCGAGGCACCCGCCCACGTCGTCGCCCCCTCTGCCGATCCTTTGTGTATTTGATGCAGCTGCATTTGCACAGCAGCTCCTCGTACTCGTCGTACCCGCCCACGCCTTTGAAAGGATTCACTGCTTACACTTGGCCGATTTTTGCTGCCACTTTTTGGCCTCTTTGCACAGGTGTTCCTCGTGGCAACTTTGCCGTCACGGTGGCACGGTGGGTCGGTGGCTCGGTGGCAGCAGAGTGAAAAACTTTTGCCCCCAAGGAGGAGGCTTTAGAGATCCTTTAAACAGCCCACTCCATCTCGATTCTTGCAAGCCACAAAGACAGTAAGGATGCACAGAACTTACATTTTTCTCACTTGAATATTTATTGTACTTCATTTAAATCATTTTGTATTTGAATTTTTTACATATTTTTCATTTTTTTTTGCTTTGTTTTTAATTTTATCAGCATAATTCAATAATATATATCTGTTTTTGTATAGTATAATAATTTTATAACACGTTTTTCTGCACTGTGCAAATAATTTGTCCATCAACTCTATTAAATTTGCGTTTTCCATTTGGTTTTTGCGTGATGGAGTGTTGATATTCAATTTTCATTAATTTTTTAGTACAGTCTACATTAAATTGTTTTACATTTGATTTAGTTTACCGACTAACTTTCTGCTGTATATTCTTTTGGGGCTTCTCAAAATATTTCATGTTTTAAACACTTTTTGTTTTCCTTTGGTTTTAATATAAGCTGTATACACTTATATGTATGTCGGTATGTCCTGGCACGTATATATGCGCGAGCACACATACGCACCCACATACACTCTTGTATATTTCAATTATACATATATATATATATTTATATATATAGGTATATTTGGATTCAACTTATGCTTATACTTTCAATGGCATAATAAATAGACAAACAATGATTTATTCTGTTGTAATTTGGTTGTAAGTACTAAATTTGCTATAACAATCAGTAAATATACTTAATCATATATACCATATATATATATATGAATATATGTGTATATATATATATTATATATATCCTCTCGCCCTTCTCCGCTCGAATGCCCCTTCGTCCCGAACGACCCTCCATACACATATTAATATATATACGAACATGCACGCAGTTATATGTAAATGAGTATATATATATTCATACATGTATGTGAACAACGCCATCGAGGCTGCCCTTCTCACAACTGTGTATTCATAACCCAGATATATGACATACATATATGTATATGTGACGTTCACTAAAAGCTCTGGAAACTTATTTATAAGCATATTGTTTTGCGCATTTCTGTTATCTAATCAGTGATATGAGCACTAATTACACAGAAATTAAAGTAAATATTTGTAGGGCAAAGCTACACTCACGTCGAATGTGAAGTAGTACGTACTTATGTAATTTATTTAAGTTACACAAGTGCTTTTGAATCGTCTCTCTTTTAATTGTTTATTTTTATCAAAATGGCGCTGTGGCGGCTTCCGTCGCACTTTCTTTTGTGGCGTTTCACTATTGATACCCGGTACTCCGAAGGGTTTCAAATGGTCATACTAGAAAAATTTAAACTTGAAATCGCTGGCCTCAAAGTCAAAAACTCTGTTGTTTCACGGCCGAATGGGTAAGAACGAATGGGTTCTCCCACGAATAACACTCGTGTTCTACTCTACATGTTTTGAGCACCGGGCCAGGATCCTGACAGCCGCTTAATATTGTTATTTATTTTAAATTATTGTTTATGTAAATACATACCACCATAAATATGTATGTATGGATTACTTATTATAAGCAATTTTAAAGATATACACCATCTACTATTCAAAACAATCGGAACTTTTTCTTGTGGTTTTTGGTTTTGGTTTTTGTTTTGGTTTTTGTTTTAAAGTAATTCATATCTTGCCTGTACTTAAGTGGTTTTCCTTTTTATTTGTTGTAAACTCTTATTAAACTATTTTGGTTTGGCATATTTGACTTACAACAATTTGTAATACAAAAAAGTAAATGTACATAAAAAAAACAACAACAATACAATTTTTCATCCGCATTTACTACAACTCTCATTTTGGTGTTGTTCTAAAAGCTGCTATTATATTTGACAACAATTTTGAACTATTGCTGCTGCTGCTGCTGATTCTGTATGTTTTTTTTTTTTTGTTATATTTTTTATATTTTTATTTGTTTTTTAACTCTTTAATTGCTCGGCTCGCATAAAGCAAAGTTAACGGTGGTTTCATGTACACTTTTTGTACGAACGCCCCTAAACATGGCACATCCTTCTCGCTTATCACCCCTCGCTCCTCGCTCCTCGCTAGTCGTTTCTCGCTACTCGCCACTCGCTTCTCGTAACACTCTATGCAACATCCAAAACTTTATCTCACTTTGATTTGCTTAGATCTCCATTTGAATGTAACTCTTGTAAACGTCTTATGTTTTGTTTTGCTTGATTTGTTAGAGCTTTAGTTAATTGAAATAGTTGAAAATGTATTTGTTTTTAGCGTAGAAAGCACAAAGGTTAGCTCAGATATCGCATACAAAGACTTTGCCTAACAGCAAACACTGGGTTGACAGTAAGTATAGCTAATTCATATGCACAATGAAAATAGAAATGTACTTAGAGCTTAATAGTATTTGTTTTTCGTTAATTTAGCGTTTCATTCGATTCATATAAAGGTATTAGTCGCGAACAACCAGGATTTCAATTTAATTTGATTTGCTTCATCGTAAACGTTTATTGTTAACATGTTTTTTCGATCGATCAGTGCATCGAATGGAACAGTATTTGATCTTAAGAGTTGGCCGTTTATACATATACATACATACATATATATCGGTACTTTTACCAGATTTCTCATTGAGTTTTATTATTCTCATTAGTTTATTTTACACAGCATAGCTCGATTCCTGTGATTGTTTTTAGGCGGGCAGCTAAATACACATAGTTTTTGTTAAAAAGAGTTGAGTTGAAAAAGTATGCACAGCATTTATTATTGGAGTAGGAAGAAAGTATTTGCGCAAGTCAGTTTTTAGTTTTCAGATTTCGCTTCTAATTGGAAAAATAATTGGATATCGGCTCGTCTTCAAATACTAATAGATAGGAGATATCGGGATGGAGTTCTCAGTTTTCCTGTCCTGCCTTTTGAGCATTCGGCCTCATCCTCATCTTAATAATCAATGAAAATACTTTGTACTTGAGAAAACGGTTCCATTGCAATGCACGTATATATTGGGGCTCGTGAGAATTTTAAGTACATGTGAAATGAAACAGCTTTCCTTCGACTCAACTCAATATCTTGTAAATTAAAACAAAACTCCTTGCGCAGAAACTTTGGCTTATAATTAGGACAAGAGCCAACGTAAAACTGGTGTAGTTAGTCGGGGCTTCCAACAAAACGATTGAACTAGACATATTACATGGATCGTGTTCTGGCTCTTCTATCCCCATTCCATTATTATTTTTGTGACTTTCGATATGAAATAAAATTGTATATTTGTATACCTTAGGTATCGATGCCGATTCCAAGTCCTCTCATCTATTTATACTATTATTTAGTTATTCATTATCTCGGTTTCGGTTTCGGTTTTGGTTTTGTATTTGGGGTTGGATTTGGAGTTGGGTTTGGCGTTTTCAACTGATCAGAAAGACGCTTCTGCGGTGATTTGAACATTCATTATTAGATTTAGTTTCATATCCAATTCGATTAATGCCTAATTAGGCTGATTAAGCCAACTTTTCATTTGTAAATAAGTATGCACATTCTGCAGATAAAGTATTTCGTTTTGGTTTGTTTTAGTTTTTCTTGTTATTTGTTTTTAATGTATATATTGAAATTTCAGCAATAAACCACTCCTCCGTCCACCTGGCTCGTATTTGTTTTCCTCCCTCCTTGCAAGAACGTCCTGAAGCATTTGCAACATTTACATATGAATACACTCAATTGTCTCACACACCTCGTGTGCCATGCACCCGAGTTGCAACTCGCCACTTGCCCCTACCCGAGCCCCTACTTCTTGTGCGGCTTCCTTTTCAGCAACTTGTTGACCACTGTCTTGAACAGATTCGATTTTATTCATAAGTACCCCAGAGTGGCGTAGGTTTTCACGAAGGTTCCGTCATTGGCGCTCACGTTTCTGTAAAAGATTGGAGGGATTAGCAAAAGAGTTCCACTTGCGGGAGAAATTAGTTATGAATATAGGCTTGTTTCAGCTTTTGGGTATTATGTGAGTCCTGAAACAGGCCTATACCAACATCATTACTAACTCATCTTCCCAGGGGCACACGGCGTTGTGGTCTGCGGCCTCCATGCTGCTGCCACCAGCCTTCTCCTTGTCCTTTTCGTCCTGGGAACTGACCTTCTTGCCCTCGGAGTTTCGTTTCTTGCGACGCTTGCGCGCCTCTTCGTTGCTAGAGGTGGGCGTGGCTGCGGCTGGGACTAGGGCAACGGGCTCGGGATCTGGATAGGGTTCGCACAGCTCGTCGTCCACCGTGTCTACGTCCAGCTCGGCCAGGGGTGCCAAGGATGGCGCAGGAGTGGGCGCCGGCGGTATGTAGCCCAGCTGGAGGTCGGTGTCTATACTCTCGTAGTCGTCGACCACGTCCTTGGGGTCACTGCCGAACTGGAGGCCCTCCTGGTACTCGTCGGTGGTAGGCGAGAGCTCCTCGAGCACACCCCTCGGTTCCTGTTCCTCTTCCTGGCCCGACGACTTCTCCTCGGCCTCCGGCTCGTGCTGGACTTCATCGGGATCCTCGGTGGTAGTGGTAATGGTAGTGGTGCTTGTGGTGGTGGCAAAGGTTCTTTTGGTGTCATCCGTGCTAACGACCTCCAGGTCCAGCTCCAGCACCTTGATAATGGGCGGACTGCCCCGTTCCGAATGGAATTCCCTGGCCTCGATCAGCTCGATCTGCACCTCCTTCACCAGGGTCAATGGAGCTTCGGTCAGTTGCTCCTGCAACAGTGGGCTTGTGGAGGCCTCCACTTGGCGACGCGCCTCGACTGGCTCAGGCGCTCCCTGCGGTGGGGGCGGGGGCGTGACCTTGGTGACGGGCGGCGGGGTTTGTGCGGGGGTGGGCACCATCACCACGGGCAGCTCCGACGTGGAGCTCTCGCTGTTCCGCTCGCAAAGCGACATATTGCTGAGCTCGTCCTCCAGCTCCACGTCCACATCGGAACCGGAGTGCGGATCCTTGACGATGGCGCCGCTGCCAAATCCGGATCCGCTACTGCGGGCTTGCAAGGGAGCGAAGCTACCGGAGGAGCTGGTGGCCACCACACCTGGGACAGGGCCAGGAGGTGCCTCTGGGTTGCCTACAGATGGCGAGGATGTGGTCGTCGGAGTGCGCCCCAGCTGGTAATCCGAAGTGTGGCTACAACGGGAAACAAAAATAGAGAAACAGGACTTTCAAAACATGCGCCATTGAATCCTCACCTGGGCGTGAAGGAGACGGAGGCCCGTCGCTGCTCCGGAAAGTTGGGAATCAAGCGCTTTACACTGGCTTCGCCACTGTCCACTGTGTTTTGGTGGCGGATGCCCAGGTTCCGCTGCATCCGGTCGTTCACGTCGCTGCTGTCGGAGGAAGTGCTGGAGATGAAATGGGACTACAGGAATCAGGTCATTCGGAGGATCCGGACCCAGTTACCTGGTCAACCGTAAGGGCTGAGAGGCGGTCGACGTCTTCAACGACGGTCCTGGGGCCGCCTGCTCCGCCTTCTCCGCTGAGGCTGCATTGTCCAGGTCCCAGGGACACACCGATAGCTTCACCTGGGCAGGAGCCACCGGAGCTGCTGCTGCCGGCTCGTCCCAGGGACACACCGCGCTGCTGCTGGCCAGGGAGGAGGTGGTGGCGTCCTTCGGCTCCAGAACGGTGGACTTCGTCTTGGGCGTTTCTCTGTGAGGGCAATACACACACATTTCGAGGGGATTATAGCAGATTTCGCGGGACTCTCTTCTCGTACACTTAGACAGTGGTGGAAAAGGATGGCTAGTGTTTAATGTCAAGACTCACACATATGCTTATATGTACATTGGTAACAGACAAAGAGAGAAAGAGAAAGACACAGAGAGGGGGATAGAGAGGTGGTAAGGAGCGCAAAAGCATCATAAACAAAGGCCATTTGGCCAATTTTCTTTTTTCAGTACAGAACACACAATAACAACAGCAAACATTCGAGCATTATAACGATCGAAACCAGTTTTCACAGTTAAAGAACAACAACGAAAACAGGACTTGGCGGTGGAAGTAGTGGGGTAGAGACTCGGAAGATAGACCGGAAGGTAGTTAGAGCCAACGAGGTAAGATAGGATCCCCGCTAAGTACTCTCCAAGACACTAGTTAGCAAGAGTCGACTCAGTATCTACTGAAGAAGTATCTACGGTACAGTCAGTACAGTATCTACTCAGCGGACAAACGGACAAACTTAAAGAGTATCTGTATCTTTATTTTCATTGAAATTCTGAATTAAGATAAAGAGTTAGTGCGAACTTTACTCTTCATCTCAAGGCGGTCTTAAAGATAACTAATAGTATTAAAGCCCATCCTGAAAAATGGCTGGGCATTTGACTAAGGTGGGTATAGGAGGTCTAGGGTCAGGGTTGGGGTCTAGGGCACAGATGGAACGGTAAAAAATGAGGAGAAAACTAGTATTACGGTAATAAGTTGTTTGGAAAAGTTGTAGCATTTTGAGGAATGCAAGTGGTAGGTAGGCGATTGGTAAAACAAAGCAAAATGGAGTTCTTACGGAAGTGGCTGTAAACTACTTTCGCGATTTCCGTAAGCCGCATATATCCCGATATCCATGACCGCCATGTGGCGATGGGGCATATCGCCTCGATAAACTGTATCGCTACTGCGGTGCGTGTGACGTATGGTGTGACATGGTACATGGTATAATCAATTTAGTATCAGTTCTTCAAGTTTTCTTTCAAGTAACAACCAAGGATCAAATCATGATTCGTAATTATTCATTTCTTTACTTAATCCAAGCAACTGAAAAGGGCGAACCAAAAACAAAGGCTCCCTCGAAAATAATAAGAGTTCCAAACACACTCATATTATACGGGCCCTCTGCAGGCTTCTCCTTCCCCTGCCTGTCAAAAAACTTACCTGAAGGGGATCTCGCTGAGGTTGCTCTGCGAATGGGAGTGTGGCACCTTGGACCCCGCGTCCTTGTTCACCCCGATCACGGCCAACTCGTGGGCGGAGCCCGTCAGACTCCGATCGCTGCCGCGTCGCCTGGCGAGGCTTCCCGGAGGCGGGGCCTGCATCATAGAGCTCCCCGAACTTCCTCCCACGCCGCCTGCTCCGCTTCCCTTGGCCGCATCGCCGAGATTCGGCTGGCTGGAGAGAGCGGCCGTCATCTTCTTCTTGGCACCACTGACGCCGCCAAAATTAAAGAAGCGCTTCTTGTACGAGGGCTGGATTCCGGTGTCCAGGAGGCGCTTGTAGTGCTCCGAGCGGATGAAACGCGGATAGCAATCCTTCTTCAGGAGCAGCATGTAGATGTGTTCCGAGGCCGAGTCGAACGTGAAGCGAGAGGGATTCTTCAAGCCACGCAGAACACTTTCCATCGTCTTGCCATCGATGTTAATCTCGCAAGGGGCTCCAGGCTTCAGGAATTCCCTAAAATTATTAACAAATTTATTGATGCACGTTAATAAAAAATTTAGCAAAAATCGAATTAAAGTTATTACTTTCAGGAGTAGCAACGATACTCGGTTAATCCATATTAAGCATAAGTTCTTTGAAGCCTAGGAGGGATCAAAAGGCTATTGGCCAAGATATTGGCTTCCGCACTGGACCACATTTTATGTGGGACCCCATAGAAAATTTGAAAAAAATTGATCCGAAAATTGTTTCCCAGGTTTTGATGCAGAATAATGGAGAATTGAACTGCGAATCCATAAAGGTATTCCGCTTAAGGATCAGAGGGATATTGGCCAAGATATGGCTTGCGCACTGGACCACATGGACCTCCCATTGGTTCCCCTAAATTTCATGTGGGACCCCATAGAAAATTTGAAAAAAATTGATCCGAAAATTGTTTCCCAGGTTTTGATGCAGAATAATGGAGAATTGAACTACGAATCCATTAAGGTATTCCGCTTAAGGATCGGAGGGATATTGGCCAAGATATGGCTTCCGCACTGGACCTCCCATGGGTTCCCCTAAATTTCATGTGGGACCCCATAGAAAATGTGAAAAAAATGGATCCGAAAATTGTTTCCCAGGTTTTGATGCAGAATAATGGAGAATTGAACTACGAATCCATTAAGGTATTCCGCTTAAGGATCGGAGGGATATTGGCCAAGATATGGCTTCCGCAGTGGACCACATGGACCTCCCATGGGTTCCCCTACATTTTAAGTGGGACCCCATAGAAAATTTACAAAAAATGGATCCGAAAATTGTTTCCCAGGTTTTGATGCAGAATAATGGAGAATCGAACTACGAATCCATTAAGGTATTCCGCTTAAGGATCAGAGGGATGTTGTCCAAGATATGGCTTCCGCACTGGACCACATGGACTTCCCATGGGTTCCCCTAAATTTCATGTGGGACCCCATAGAAAATTTGAAAAAAATGGATCCGAAAATTGTTTCCCAGGTTTTGATGCAGAATAATGGAGAATTGAACTACGAATCCATTAAGGTATTCCGCTTAAGGATCAGAGGGATATTGGCCAAGATATGGCTTCCGCACTGGACCACATGGACCTCCCATGGGTTCCCCTACATTTTAAGTGGGACCCCATAGAAAATTTACAAAAAATGGATCCGAAAATTGTTTCCCAGGTTTTGATGCAGAATAATGGAGAATCGAACTACGAATCCATTAAGGTATTCCGCTTAAGGATCAGAGGGATGTTGTCCAAGATATGGCTTCCGCACTGGACCACATGGACTTCCCATGGGTTCCCCTAAATTTCATGTGGGACCCCATAGAAAATGTGAAAAAAATGGATCCGAAAATTGTTTCCCAGGTTTTGATGCAGAATAATGGAGAATTGAACTACGAATCCATTAAGGTATTCCGCTTAAGGATCAGAGGGATATTGGACAAGATATGGCTTCCGCACTGGACCACATGGACCTCCCATGGGTTCCCCTACATTTTAAGTGGGACCCCATAGAAAATTTAAAAAAAATGGATCCGAAAATTGTTTCCCAGGTTTTGATGCAGAATAATGGAGAATTGAACTACGAATCCATTAAGGTATTCCGCTTAAGGATCGGAGGGATATTGGCCAAGATATGGCTTCCGCACTGGACCACATGGACCTCCCATGGGTTCCCCTACATTTTAAGTGGGACCCCATAGAAAATTTACAAAAAATGGATCCGAAAATTGTTTCCCAGGTTTTGATGCAGAATAATGGAGAATTGAACTACGAATCCATTAAGGTATTCCGCTTAAGGATCAGAGGGATATTGGCCAAGATATGGCTTCCGCACTGGACCACATGGACCTCCCATGGGTTCCCCTACATTTTAAGTGGGACCCCATAGAAAATTTACAAAAAATGGATCCGAAAATTGTTTCCCAGGTTTTGATGCAGAATAATGGAGAATCGAACTACGAATCCATTAAGGTATTCCGCTTAAGGATCAGAGGGATGTTGTCCAAGATATGGCTTCCGCACTGGACCACATGGACTTCCCATGGGTTCCCCTAAATTTCATGTGGGACCCCATAGAAAATGTGAAAAAAATGGATCCGAAAATTGTTTCCCAGGTTTTGATGCAGAATAATGGAGAATTGAACTACGAATCCATTAAGGTATTCCGCTTAAGGATCAGAGGGATATTGGACAAGATATGGCTTCCGCACTGGACCACATGGACCTCCCATGGGTTCCCCTAAATTTCATGTGGGACCCCATAGAAAATGTGAAAAAAATGGATCCGAAAATTGTTTCCCAGGTTTTGATGCAGAATAATGGAGAATTGAACTACGAATCCATTATGGTATTCCGCTTAAGGATCAGAGGGATATTGGCCAAGATATGGCTTCCGCACTGGACCACATGGACCTCCCATGGGTTCCCCTAAATTTCATGTGGGACCCCATAGAAAATGTGAAAAAAATGGATCCGAAAATTGTTTCCCAGGTTTTGATGCAGAATAATGGAGAATTGAACTACGAATCCATTATGGTATTCCGCTTAAGGATCAGAGGGATATTGGCCAAGATATGGCTTCCGCACTGGACCACATGGACCTCGCATGGGTTCCCCTTGATTTTAAGTGGGACCCCATAGAAAATTTACAAAAAATGGATCCGAAAATTGTTTCCCAGGTTTTGATGCAGAATAATGGAGAATCGAACTACGAATCTATTAAGGTATTCCGCTTAAGGATCAGAGGGATATTGGCCAAGATATGGCTTCCGCACTGGACCACATGGACCTCCCATGGGTTCCCCTAAATTTCATGTGAGACCCCAGAGAAAATTTACAAAAAATGGATCCGAAAATTCTTGTCCAGGTTTTGATGCAGAATAATGGAGAATTAAACTACAAATCCATTAAGGTATTCCGCTTAAGGATCGGAGGGATATTGGCCAAGACGACTTCTGTACTTACTCATAAATTTCGTTGACCTTTCGGGCCACCTGGGAGTGGGCTGAACGGCGAAGCCGATTTACTGCGATCCAGAAGCGTATGTTCTCGTGAGAGTACTCCTTCTCGAGGAAGCTCGTAAACTCCTGGAGGCCCGTGGGGTCTGACACGAGCTCCTCGATGGAAATGGCCCAGCGCTTGACCCGCTTCTCCGTGGGCACCTCCACGAAGGTGTTGTTCAGCTGCCAGAAAGCAATATCTTCGGTAACCCAGGGATTGGAGGGCAGGGCCGGCTGGAGGAAGAAGTCGTACTCGGTGAAGGTCTCAGAGTAGCCAACCAGGGACTCGCAGGCCTGGGACATCTTCATGCGCGTCCGGTTGAGGGACTTGCCCAGGTAGTCGACGTCCCGCTGCAGGTCCTCGACAGTCTTTTTCTTGTTGGGCTTCAGGCCCTGGCGGTCCCGCGAAGGCACTGGACAGGGTTCCAGGGGCGTGAACTGGCCCGGGGGTGGACGGTGGACGCGCCAGTAAGCCCGCTCCTGGGAGTCGCCGACGATCTTGTCCCCCTTTTTGCGCTCCTTGGCCAGCCGGACCTGCTCCTCGGCCTGCATCGAGATGAAGTCCCACTTGCCCTTGAGGTTCTTGTGGAGCGAGGCGAGGGCCTCCGCCTCGTAGTCCTCGAGGGCGTGGCGCTGCTTGTTGCGCAGGGAGCGCTTGGCCAGGTAGATGGCGTACTCGACGTTGTCGGGGGCCTTGTGCTGCCAGGGCCAGTAGTAGGGCGTCTGGAAGCGGTACAGGGAGGAGTCGTCCTTCACGGTCAGCGTCTTCGAGTCGTTCACCGGGAAGAAGTAGCCGTGCAGGCACAGCTGGTTGGCGATGTTGAGGGCCTCGGACTCCTCAATCTGCAGTCTGTCCATCAGCCACTCGATCAGATCGTAGCCCATGAAGGCGTAGGGTATGGAAGTCAGAAACATTTTCTGCTGCCGCACTGGAACACCGTGCTCCTGATCCTGCATCTCCCGCACCAACATCTCCATCTAAAAGAAAGGGAATTAAGATATCTACGCCGTATAAATTGGAGGACCAAGGACTCACCTTATCGAAAGCCATGGGTCGCGATAGCTTCTCTATGGTCTGCTGCTGGTTGCCGCCGCCACTGCTTCCGGAGCCCAGCAATCCACTGCCACTGCCCGCAACGGGAGCAGGAGCTATTCCGGATATGGATCCGTGATGGGGAGCGGCATTCGGAGCCGTCGCTGCCGCGGGCAGAGTTTTCTGGTGGGGATGCTGGTGGTGCTGCAAGTGGTGGTGGCCCACAGAACTGCCACTAAAGGCGGTGGCGGCCTGAGTCGTGGCGGAGATGGCGGTCGCTGTGGAGGCCAGGGCCGGACTGGTGCTGTTAGCATTGCCGCTGCTGCCGCTCGTGGCCAGAACGGGTGCAGCCGCCGGATTGTTGTTCCCGGCGGCCGAGGGTGAGAACTGCTGCATCGCCTGGATCACGGCATGGGGCTGGAGGCTCAGACTGGTTGGCTTGACGCAGACCGGGGCCTGCGTACTGAGGGTGGGAGTGGGGGTGGTTAAAATAGTGCCTGCGGATGCGGTGGCGGGTGCGGGTGCTGGTACGGAGGTCACCACCACAGGGACCAGGGCCGTCGACTGATTGCGGAGCACCAGCTGCCGATCCCTATCCGGCGGCACTCCGCCGGGAGGTTCCATAGCCGCGACTGTGCGCCGTTTTGGCACTATCCTGCCCTCCGGTTCCTGCTCCGGCTCGTGCTCCCGCTCCTTGTGTGTCTCCTGCTTCTGCTCGTGCTCCTGCTGCTGCTGGGTGTCAGCTGGCTATTGACCACACAAAAGTTCACTCCGGGGTCCTGCGACCGGAAGTGTGCTGTGTTTTCGTGTCGGTTTTACGTGCTCTTCCGCGCTGTGGCTTTTGTTCGTTTCATGGTACTTGTTTATTTTTCACTTTCTCCTTTTTCTTCTCTCGACTCCTGCGTGAGCGTTCTTTGACAATATATCCTTGTGTGCAGTTATCCGAATTCCATCATGTCCTTGTGTATGGAAATATTTGCTGTGGAGAGTATAAAGCATTAGGTGGCTTAAATCGAACAATAAAATATAGGAAGGCCTACAATGTTTCATGATTTGCTCAGTTTCGATGGCCCTTTCCCCAAAGGCCCGCCTCTAGCCAGTTTTAGTTGAATCCTGCGCCGGTAGGCTGCAGATTCTTGTGCGTAAAGTTTGGTGTATTCCTCTAGCCATGTAGTGGCTGCAGACTACTGCAGGCCTGTCATAGTCCCTGGGATTCAATCTGCAAAACAGGAAAAAATAGGCGTCAGTTTGAAAATAATAAAGCCAAGTCTGGGCGGAGTGGGATTCATGCCGTTGTCTGTATGAGCCATTCGCCTTTTTTGTGCGTGCCTGCGCGAACTTATGTAACGCACGCACTTGCCCACGTCCCCACATCCCAAGTCCCACGTTTGAGGACTTCGATCGAGTCCTGCAGACTTTCGTGCGCCCCCTGGACGCTGGCCCCAAAAGTTCAATGCCACTAGGGTTGTCTTTTGTGTGTTTAAAGCCGTTTGAAGCACTTGTCGCTGCGAAGTCCTGCTGCCGAGGCCCAGAGCCCAAAGCCAATCAAAGTTGGAGGTTTATTTATCACCTCTAATCAGAAATGGAGCAGGCCGACGAGGCGTGCATGTTCAAATGAAATACTACACGGGAGATAATGGAGTCCCGCAGAAACATATATCATACGAACGATACCCATTTGGCACAGGTGCCTAGCATGCCTAGCGTGCCTAGTTTGGATCACTCCCAGCTAGGTACATACATTTTGAAGTCCATGGAACGCACTTCCTGGGGTGAAATGCGTACTTCCAGCTAATTGGAAGGGGTTAATCGAGTTATGCAGAATGCGCCCTGTGTTGCATAGCCTCCATTGATTGCCCCACAAAGGGCCGAGGACGACACAGAGGGCGCTCAGTTAATAAACAATAATCAATCGAGGGTGGAAGCTTTAAAAATAAGACTATAAATAAACTCAAAACTTCGTGAATGGTTGGCAGTAGTGAGTACCGGGTATTGCATAGCCACGATTTCAGAAATTCCACCTTAGGCCTTGCAGAGAGACTAGTCACATTTTCACTTTCCCTTCGAGGGAACTCCGGCATAACTGCGACTTTGGCCAGTCCCGAATCAAAGAGCGGTGAAAGTTGCTCTTTATGGCCAGAACACAGCTCTGTGAAACGGGGGGGATGGGGGTCTTTTAATTAATTTGTTTGACTTTTGATTTGGTTACAAATTTAACATCATTACGGTCAAAAGTGTCGAACTTGTTTACGTTCTAGGGACGGACTACATTATACTCGGCTCTCAGCCTCAGCCTCAGCCCCAACCTCAGCCTCAGCCCTTTTGATTTCGTCCTTTCTTTCACTTTCTCTCTCTCGCATTTCTCTTTTACTTTCTGGCACTCTCACTCGCTCCCTCGGTGCCTCTCAGTCGTGCCCTGGCACTGTCCCACTCCTTCCTCAGCCGCTCTTTAAATGTGACTTTTGTCGTGCATTTGTCGTTGGCGTCGTTACTGGGCCGGAAGTTGGTTTGAAACTGTTGGCAAATGAGTTTCCGTTTGCGAGGGACGTTTCCTGCCTGCGTTGCTGTAGTTTCTCCTGACTTATGCCGCCTCTGCCGCCCTTTTCTGTTTTTTTTTTTTATTTATTTGCAATTACACACTCGCACAGTTAGCAGAACTTTATTAATTTGCCACGCTGTATTTTTCTAAAGGCACACGGCACACGGCGGAGCACACAGATTTCCAATGGGTCCCTCCGAACTTCTACTCTCTGTACATACACAATATATAATTATTATTTGCTGGCAGAGCTGCGTCTTGTATTAGTCTTGACCCTTTTCCACTGTTTATCCTTTCCAGCCATCTCGTCTCGTCTCGTCTCGGCGACCTCCTGTGTTTGCCTTCGCCTTCCTTTGGAAATTTGGCAATTAAACTTTTATTTAAGTTTCTGCAAAATATGAAACTGGCCAAAACCAATAGATTTGAAGGCAATCGGTGGACGCTGAGGGACTCGACTCATTGAGAGGAATGATTTCCCGGGGAAAGTCTTGATCCCACGGGCCAAGCTGCGAATGCACTCACTGCGTATGAGTGATTAATGCCTCCGTGAATTTGGGAAAACGACTTGGTCCAATTAAAAGGCAGAAGAGTCCTAATCACCCTCCTCAGCCTTTGTTTGCAAGTGCAGGCTGTGCGGCCTCCTCCGTAAGCCTCCTTGGGAAGCGAACTTTGAGGCGGCGTTCAACCGACGTTCGCTCCTTCGGCAGCAGTTGGTGAAGAGGACTTGGTCCGGTGGCCGTGAACCAGCGCACCACGTCGGGGTAGGTGGGGCTTATCTCCGCATTGATATTGATTACCATCCCAGTACCTTCCCAGTGCCAGGACAGTGCGGAACAAAACAGTAGAGCGCACGGTGCAGTGGGCACGGCGCAGTTGATTTAGATGCGATTACAGCCATGGCTGTGGCACGGCTCTTGAGTTGCCATAAGCCGTAAGCCATGAGCAGAGGGGCTTTGTTAATGGATTACTGCTACTGCAAGATGCACCATTGTTTACGTTCTTTGACGGCTTAATCTGCCCACACGCTCCTTTGATCAAGGCCACAAGAGCTCGGGCCCATCTTAATCTTTAAAGTGCACCCACACGGTCGCCCGGAGAGAAGGGGTTCTCCCTAGTCCCCACAGCTTTGATCTTCCCGCCCCCCGATCGAGCTCTGGCGGAGCAATTACGTCGCAATTGAAATCAAAATTGCGAATACGCAGTACAGTAGCCCTCGCATAATACTCCTAACTAGGTCCTAATTGATTTAAAAGTTCCTGCACCACACTGCGTATGAGTGATGAGTGCGGGGTCGGAGTATCACTCATACGCAGCGTGTGACAAGCAAACTTTTTTTGAATCAACCAGAGAGTGCACTTTTTTGAATGAAGCGCGCACATGGCGTATGAGTAATATCGGCTTTAACAGGCACGCTCTGGAGGTCCTCTAGAGGTTCTGTTCGTGATTGCGACTGCATTTTTACTGTTCGCGGACCGAAACGCTCACTAGGAGGCCTCACTGTGCCGCCAGTGGACCGAAAAACAAAAAATGAAAGTCCCGCCGCCCGCCGCCTGCCGCACGGACCTCTGGCCGACTAATACACGGGCACATTACAAGCTAATAAACTAAAACGGTACAGTGTCAGCCTAGGACTGTCTGTGTGTGAGTGGGGGTGTGGGTGGGGGTGTGGGTGGGTATCGGTGGGTGGCAGGGCGTATGTGTGTAAGCTCACACACACACACATGCACGCAGCGGGCGAAGAGAGAGAGCCGGAGCAACAAAAAGCTTTAATAGGCGCAGTAGATAGCCTGCCACGGGGTTCTCTCCTCTTTTTCGGTTTCTACAACAACAGGAAGGAGGAGAAAAAAAGTGGCTGGCCAAAAAGTAGAAAAGTTGGCCCCGAAATGCGCAAAACATTTTCTTTTCCTTTTGGCCCGAAGTACATATGTGCTCTTTGGAGTTTCCGAAGAAGCGACGTGAGAGACGGGGGACCTTGTGTCCTTTGGCCATCGTCGTTGTTGTTTTTAACCCCCCCCCCCCTTTTTAGCAATCTTCCCGCCACTCCTCCCACGCTTATTCTGGGGTACTTGCAGCATTCAGACTTCTCGGACCAACCAGTTGCCGTGAATCGCTTTCGGCCGCAATCTATAAACAAATCCACAAATACACATTTTCGTAATTTCGTACAATCGTGTGTATACATCCAGTGGGCATTGGCAATGGCAATTAAATATTTACGTCCACGAGCAGCTGGTTCGCAACTTCTCCCGGAACTGGGGCTCTCCGCTCCGCTCCGCTCCTCTCCTCTCCGGCATCCATATTGTGTGTTTGTGTGCACACCCTCGCCCCGACCGACACACGCACACTCAGGCCTGTCGAGTGTGGTGGAGTGCATATGTAGTGTACCCAATGCCTGGGTCAATTGAAAACGAAAAGCAAAAAAACCGAGAAAAGACAGGGGGGGGGAGCAACTCTTGGACTGGCTGCGTACTTGGCTGGCACATTTTCACAACTTTTTCATTTTCCATTCCGCTGGCCACACACAAACAGTCGCGGATCTCCTCCTTTTTCGCAAACAGCCTCCTGGCCAGCCAGGCTCACGCAAAAACTCTCAACAATTTCACTGTCAATGTTAACATAACTAACGGCACTCTGCAACTGTGCCACACTCTTTCACACACACACACACACCAACACACACACAAACAATATCCGAATGTTTTTTGCTACCTTATTGCGCTCCCTTTCCCTCGCTCATTTGGCAGTGGCGCTTCTCAGTGCGATGCCTTCTCCGTCTCCTTCGGGGACTCTCGCGATTCTCCAAAAAAAGGGCCAAAAAAACGCAAAAGAAAATTTGTTTCCACGTATTCCTTTTCGATCAGCACAGCACAGGACACTCTCGTCAAAAAAAATGAAAGAAAGAAACACACACACACACACGTATGGAGGAAAATGGCACTAGAAGTCACTTTGCGGGGCAGCTTTCGATTTTCGTTTTGGATAATTATTGATTTGCGCGACTTTGAAAACTCAGCCTAGGGTCTTCCGTCACTCCTGCCGTCTCTTATTATGTTTCCATGTTGCTCTTGGGGCTCCTTGAAAACACCGTCGCACGCAAGGACGTCCGCCGCACACGATACTTTGAGCCAGTGTCCGCGTGTAGGAAAATGGAAAATGGATTTTCCCTGCTGGCACTTTTTTCCCTGCTGGCTGGAGAGAGCGCTGCTGACGCCGCGACAGCGAGAGCGGGGCGACGAGTGGCCGAAATGAGAGAGAGCTTTCCGAGCGGAACTGCATGGGAAGCAGGGCAGCCATCTTGGCCTTTTCCGCTAATGGCCAAAAACCGCTAGAACTAACGGTTTATTTTTACAATAAAGTGAATTTATACCACCAACTAATCAGTAGAAATTTTATCTTAAAACTATAAAGACTTAAACCTTTTAATTTCCATTAAATTTAAACAAAATCTTGTCAAGGATTCCCGTTAGTAACAGCATTTACAGTTAGCTGTTTTCCGAGTCCTGTCTCTGGCAGCAAAGCTCGGCGGCAACCCCTTGGCGAGCGATTAGCGGAATCTTTCATAAGCCACTGACGTTATCGAGTCCAGTACTCGTTGCTGGAAAACTTTTGACTCTGCGCCTTTCTCGACTTTCTCCGCCCACGAGCGCCCAATATTCAGCTCCACCCTCGCCTTCGTCCCTCCCTCGGCCGGGGCTTATCCGTGAATGTAAGTGTGTATCCCATCACTGCACTGCATCGGAAGCGAAAGGGACAGCTGATAGGGGGTATGCCTGCCTGGGGGACCCCAGCCAGATGGAACAGAAAGACTCGAGAGTTGTTTTAAAAAGACAACAAGAAATGTATTGAATTAGTACAGTAATATATAGTATATACACGTAATATTTTGTACATATATGTATATAATTCCTTTTTTAATTTTATACTGTTTTAAATCGAATGAAAAAATACGCTTCTCTCGCGATACCTTCGCCCTGCCGCGGCAATAACTCATAACTTCGTACATATTAGGTTGAATACGTTAAGAAACGTGTGTGTTTGAGTTGCATTTTCAATTTTACTTGTTTTCAGTGTGCTCCAAAATACACAAATCAGTTTATAATGTATAGTGTAAATTTTTTGGCCTATTTCCCAATACAAAACTACATAACTTGTCAGATCTTAGATTTTCAGATTTGGAAATGATTAGATTCTACCTACCAATCAGACTACATTGTACAAAATATCAAATCATGTCGAATCGAAGAGACTCTTCCTTGTTAATTCCTGCCTATCCTTAGACTCTGGCCTCGTTACACTGTTAAGATTCGTCGCTTTCCTATATACTATCTTAAACGCAAACATGCAGGGGGGGATGGGAAGAGGGCAGAGGGTTGCAATCTTCGCAAAAGGATCAATTGTTTTTGGGGAGAAGTGGGATGCACTCCGTAAATTCTATGTAGCTACTAGTGAATCAAATAAAACCCACTAAAGTCAGGTCCTGTTTTAATAACTCTCGTTTCCGTTTCCGTTTCCGATCCGATTCCGCTTACGAGTCCGAGTCTGAGTCCTGTTGCCGATCCTACTCCATCTCCTGCACCCTCTTACTGACTACCAAACAATTCCATTCGGGGATTCCTGGATTTCCTGGTTAGCGAAGTCTTCTAGAATTATCACAAGAAGTTGGCATTCGTGTGTTCGGTGGCGCTTTGTCGGCGTCACATGTAGGAGGGCGATGACTTGCGGGACCGCGATCGGGGCTTCGAAGGACTCTTCAGGCTGTGGCGGGAGCTGCTCCGTGGCTTAAAGCCGCGGTCGTTCCACGGCTCGGAGACCCTACCGAACCAGTGTATCAGATCCATCACCTCGAGCTGAAATAAAAACAGGAAAGTTCGAGTATTTCTAAGAGAGAAGAGTGATAACAGATGTCCCCACCTGAAGGGTCTGTGGCAATTCCTTGAATATTTCGCACTTGGTCAGCTGGGCGTGCTGCGAGAGGAAGGAGAGACACTTGGACTTCAGGGCAGTGGCCATGTAGCGGTCCGCGATGCCCAGCAGACAGACCACGGAGTCTTCGTCGATCAGGGAGTAGAGGGTGTTCTCGCAGAGTTCCTGAAAGCCAAACATAACAGTCAATAATATGGACGAGAGGAGGAGCCCTATGGAGGAGACCTTCAGATCGTCGATGGAGTAGCGATCCGCCAGAAGCATCAGCTCGCACACCTGCTCCGCCCCCACCGTCCGGTCGATGGGGGCGCCGTACAGGTAGAGCAGCAGCCGCCGGAAGATGACGGGTGAAGTGTCGGTGATGATTACTTTCCGGTTGATGGACTCCTGCATGCCGGACATCAGAGCCTTCTTGAACCACTCGCAGCGCGCGGCCACGATGACCCGGTGGGCCTTGAAGCTGTGCACCTGAAGGGCGCAGGGAGCAGGGGACGCGCTGACCTCCGCATCCTGCTTGACATCTCCTTCGCCCGAGGGAAGTACCTGCTGGGGAACGGGGGTGTAGGTGTGCACCTCGAACTCCATGTCAGCCAGCTGGGTGGAGTGCAGGAGGCGCAGGGCATTCTTCGATAGGTTGCTGTTGGCCGCGATCGGCGGCTCGCAGAGATGCCGGATGAGGTTGAGCTGAAAGGGATGTATTAAGTCGGATATTCGCCGGATATGTGACTCGGAAGCCCACCTTGATGCTCTTGTAGTCATAATACTGCTTCCGCTCCACATACAGAGTGTCCTTCGCGGGGCTAATCTCCTGGTTGAGGTTGTTTTCGTGGTCGGCCACCTGGCCACCCTTCATCTCGCTGATGAGGCTGCTGGACTCGTCCAGAAGACCCAGCTCGACGACGGCCTGGGTGAACTCCTGCTTGCGGACCAACTGGCAGATCTGGCTGATGGCGTCCCGCAGGGCTGCCTTGTGGTCTAGCAGCTTGGCAATGACCCCGTTCTGTGTGGGCGGGACAAGGGTTAGAGAAGGTCTTCCGAAAAGTAGTTACCCCATCTTACTATTTGACTGGTGGCCAACTTGAAGCAGAACTTGAACTCCTTCCAGCCCAGCTTGTCGTCCAGGCGGTCCGACAGGTTCTCCACGATGAATATGTAGGCGGGTATGTCCACAATAAGCTGCTCCAGGTTCTGGTTAATCGTACTGCTCTTGCTCAGGAAGTCCATGTCGCAGAAGGTGCTCCTGAGAACGGAATTAGACAGATTAGAGGCCACTGGGAAGGCAACTCACTTCTTATCCTTGATTATCTCCAAAGCGGCCACGATCCGTCCGTAGATGTCGCGCATCTTCCGCACCTCGTACATGTAGAGCACGAACTTCAGGTCGTTCTCGGCCGAGCTGAGTCGCTGCTTATCCGCGAGATTGTCGTAGAGCGTAAGGCCCACGGGGGCGCCGCGTCGAGGACGTGGGGACGGTTCCCCACCGCCGCCGTCGGCGAATTGGAGCTGCATGACGATGGCGTCGTCCACCTGCTGCTGCTGCAGCGGGAGGTCCAAGTGGGAGCATTTGAGGTCCTGCAGGGCGAAAAGCTGTAGCCTAGAGCCCTCTAGAGCTAGAGGATCACTCACCTTGCACATGATTTCCAGTGAATTTTTGATTTCCTCTATCACAGCGGTCAGTACAAATAAGGTTGATTCGATCTGGAAAGGATAAGTATCAGGATTAGACTCGAAACGGAATCCTCTCAAGGAATACTTGCTTCAGGTACTAGATAGGTCACCAGCTCCGCCTTCTCGTCCACGCTCAGGCCCACAAAGACCCCGAGCACGTTTCGGAGCAGCTGCTGGATCTGCGACATGAAGATCGGGATGCGGGTGCGGATGTACTTGACGATCTCGTTCTTCTGGTAGCGGGTCATGTGCGTGGCGTCGGTGATGAAGATGTTGCAGAACTGGAGCACCTTGGCGCAGCCTATGGCGCACTCCCTCAGAGCGTCCTGGAAGGTGGTGTACAGCTGGGCCGGCTCGTGGGTGATGTTGACGGGGTCGAGGCACTGGATGACCCGGTTCAGGATGCCATGCAGATCCATGGTAACATTGACCACAACTGGAAGGGATGAAAATTGTATCGAACCCTCAAGGAACCTCATTCCACCACACTTACACTTCTTGAGCCGCATCAGCCTCAGGTACTTGCGGGTCGGCTCCATCAGCTTGGTGAGCGAGGGCTGGGTCTCCGCGAAGCTGATCAGCTTCTCGCACACGTCCTCGTCCAGGTCCGGTAGCAGGGACTCGGTGTAGAGCCAGTGTAGGATGGGGCTCAGCAGGAACGTAGGCAGGTTGCAGAGGACGCCCACGGGAGTCAGTGGCGAGGAGGGCGGCGTGTCCATGGAGCTGGGGAACGGGGAGGGGCTACGGGCGCGGTACGGCGATAGCGGGGGTCTTCGGATGCCGCAGACGGTGAGGCCGCCGGCGGAGACAGGAGCTAGCAGGGGCGTCAGTGTTGGCGTGGGCGTGGGCTGGAGCACGAGATCCTGACAAAAGTTGAAGATGTTCTTGCAGTGCGCCTGCGAGGTCTCCAGGTGTGAGTCCGAGTGCGATGTAGGAGGCACCCGAAAGAGGCCGCCGGCGTTTCCCTCCAGGCCCAGCAGTCCAGTCCGATTCACAGCCTCCGCGTCCTCGGCGTTGCCATTGCTGAGGCAGGTGAAGCTGCTGCTGAACTGGTGCGCCCGCTGGGCTCCGGCCAGGGTCTGGAAGTCGCACGGGGGCTGCAGGTAGATGGGCGACAAGTTCAGCCGAGGCAGCGACTTCTGCTGCTCGTCCCCGTCGCCGGAGGAGGCGGGGGCCACTGAGATTCGAATGGGGTTGGGTGTATTTGGTCCGCTGTGACAGGATCTCGGGGCAGGACGCCCGGAGGCGGCCGCGGCGGCAGAGGAAGGGGCACTGTTCACGCACATGCTGCAGTCGAAGCCGTTCAGCCGGAGAATGGAGGCGTGCAGGGCGTAGTCCATTCCGCCGGAGCTCTTCACCACTACGTCGCTGAAGTAGGACTCCTGCAGGGCCTCGCCGAAGCTGAGCTGCTTCTCCTGGCCGGCGGCCTGTCCGTCCTGCAGGCGCTTGCACTCCACGGCATACCAGTTCTCGCAGCTGAGCACCAGGGTATCTGTGGGGGTGAGGGTGTTGGTCTGCGGAAAGGAAGTGTTACAGAGGATAAGTTGGGTCAAAGGTCAAGGCAGGCGACTCTAAACTCACGCTAAACTCAATGCTGTGGCCGGCAAAGGCGCCAAAGACCAGGCGCGGATTCGTCTCGTGGACATCGAAGGTCTCGCAGCTGAAAAGGACACTCGCCGACTCGCAGAAGGGGCCGCAGTCCTTGGACTCGGGCAGGGGGCTGACCAGGTCGTTGTACCAGGTGATGTCGCTGGTGTCGTCCAGCCGGAACTTAATGCTGCATAGAAAATACTATTTTCGTAAGTGTCCTTTTGATGCTGAATCCTCTTAAAACTCACCCCTCCAGGCCGGACAGCTCCCGCTTTCCCTCGAAGGTGCAGCAAACAATCTAAACAGGGGCAGAGCAATCGGAATAGAGATCTAGGAGGGAGCAGATTCCCGATATGGGCGAAAGACTCACCTCCCATGTGCCCAGGTACGTGTGCACCAGCGCCATCCTGTCCTGTCCCGAAGCCGTTTTTCTGTTGCCTAATCCTGCTGCATGCCACCACCATGCGTGTGCGCGTGTGCCTGTGTCTGTGCCTGTGCCTGTGCACCTGGGAACTGCAGTGGGCTTCGCCCGTTGTGGCACTTTCCCCAAGCTGGCACTTACCCACTTGCGAGGATCCTACTCGGGAGCCAAATCGGATCCTTACCCCGTTTTTCTCCGAGTTGTCCTCCTGTCCTGGTGGCTCTAACGCTTTTTGTTGGCCACCATTGCCGTCCTTTGCATGTATGTATTTGTTGTAGGGAGTTTTTGTAACTGCGCTGCCGCTGTTGCTGCCTCTGCCACGGTCTCGGCCTTTGGCTCGTCCGGCGAGTGGCGAGACCCTCTCTTGCGAGTCTCTCGCTTCTAGCCACTAGTCGCTCGCTCATTGGCTCCACTCTCCCCATTCGTTTCTGGCCAGGACGAAAAGGAGCAGCTGACAAAGCGTCGGAAAAGCTTCGCTCGAAAAGCTAACCCACGCTGGAGAACCTGGCGGAAAGCTGGCACAGCTGTGGGTAAGTTCGCTTTCTGACGTAAACGGGAATACACTGACAAAAAGCACAACCCCCTCTTGGCCTAATTTAAAATAAAAATCAGAGGTTTCGGGAAATTTGCTAAGCAACTTTAATGACGCAAAAAGCACACTGTAAAAAATACTCTGTTCATGCAACTACCAATAATGTCGCCCAGAATGGGCTGCTTTGGAGCTAAAAGTTTTGGAATGCTTGGATGGCACTTTCGTTGGCTGCCCGATCGAGCAGGATGTCATTAAAGACCCGGATGCCGTCCCTGGCGATGATCTCCAGGGGTGAAATCTGTCGCAAAGGGGCAAAGCTTTATTTGGACTACTAGTACTAACTAAGTAGGTCTTCAACTTACGCTGAGGAGGTGCTTGGAGGTCACCTTGTAGCCCTTGAAGAGGGCGATCCTCTGGAGCGCCATCACACTGCGTATCCTCTGGCGCGGCTCAATGGCAAGAAGCTGTCGGATCACATCCTGGCCCTCGTGGCTGAGGCCGCGCACCGCCTGCGGCAGGAAGTCCTCCTCGCTCTCGTCCTCAGTGTCCTGCAGACAGCCGTTGATCTGGGCGATGGACGGAGCATTGGAGAGCCCGTCCTCCGACTCGGGCGCCGCCTGTCCCCGCCGCCACTGCAGGAGATAGTGCCTCATGTTGGGGCACTGAAATGTGGGATAAATCAGTTTACAAATTTAGTTCAGTGCAGGCCCCCATGTTTATTTATTCAGATAGTATTGGGTCGGTGGTGAGACACCTCTATTGGGTCTGTTTGCTAGCTAAAAAAAACAATTAGCATCCAATCTGAGCACAAGCAAAACAAACAAACCGTGCGATGCTGACGACGGTGCTCTGAATCATATCGGAGGCAAACAAGCGAAGCAGCTCCAAGCGCCAGGCACGCCAATTTCGCAATAAACCTTTCCACGATGCTATTGACGCATTCAATCCGGCCATGCCCTTGCCAGAGCCACGGCTTTTTTGGGGGTGTTTGGAGTGCGGTTCTTACGATCCCACCACACTCCAGATAGACCTCTAGATTATCCCCGCTGTGGTATTTGAACATAAATAAATATTCATGACTGTGGAAGCTTAATTGCTCCACAGTGATCCCATAAAGAAACTGCGCATTCGGACTATGTAGATCTCCCGACCAAACTCCCCCAGAGCTGAGATCAGGTGCAGAAGGTTTCTAGAGGTACTTCTAGAGGAGGGTTGCGGGCTATGAGATGCACATGAGTTACGGAAGATTGGAATGTGGACGCCATGCCATTCCAATTTGGATGCGTCTTAGATCGGCTCAGCGTGGAGCAGCTCCGAGAGCTCGGCTCCACGAGCGCTAATGCATGCAAATTGAATTCAATTAGCGGCCGACTGACTACTTTTAAAATAGAAATAGACAATTTTTGTTGTGCGCCGCCGTTGGGGCTGCCGGGCTTTTATAATCTGAATATTATATGGGCATGTAGTGAGACTCTAGTTGTGGCTTTTCCCCGCAGTGGGCGGCCACTCTCACTTGCCGAGTACTTATGTTCCAGAACCGCAACGCCCGGGTCGACGGAGCAATACCCAGTGCTCCCCAGACCGTCGCCGAGTGGGGCTGCACGATGTCCAGTGCTTCGAGTCATCAAAATATTGCATGCAAATCTAATTTGGCACAGCCAATTGTCATGTAAGAGCCACTTACTGACACTGACTAGCGGCTAATTACAGTAGCTGCTCTTGAATATCCGATGGGGTTATGTATTCGAGCGTGGAGGGGTCCGAGCAATGCACGCACTTGAACTTAAGCTGGCATTAGTGCAGTCTGGTGGGGATCGTCTCGTGGGTGAAGGTGAGACTGGGAGATTAAGGAAAAGGTTATTCCAGACCTTGGGGGTGCATGCCGATCTCCTCCCAGAATCAGTTCCCAGAACTGTCGCTTTCACTCGGCGCTCGGTCGACAGCCGGTGCCATGGGGAAATGTCACTGGCCAGTCCAGGTGACTCATGGGGCTAGAATCCCTCCACGATTCAAGGTCTGACAATGAGAGGGCCCAGTATCGAGTGGCTCCCAATACCGAGCCAGAAACCACGCCATCTCTCCGGGCCCGAGCCTTTGGCTGGCTCGAATGCGGCTTGGCCGCTAATGCCGAGGGATTTCGAAAGGTTTGACCTGCATTTGGAGCACAAATTAAGCTTAATCAATGCGACAGCGACTGCCGACCGGCGAGTGACAAGCGGACAAACGACAAGCTGACAAAGTGAAACAGTTTTGTGGTTTGTGCTTAGAAAAAATTAAATTAAATCACCGACGAGAGCGCCGAGCTAATGATCGGCTGTAGTGCCAGTACCAGGGGGTAACAGAGGTACTGGAGCAGCCGGAGGTGCTAGGAGGGATGGATGAATGGATGGATGGATGGGCACCACCTTCCTGGTTCGTTGATTCAAAAACTAGTTGCGAAATGACACATGAGAGCGCTCCACTGATTATGATTCCACTGCTGGTTCTGTTTCTGATTCTGTGTCTGTTTCTGCGTCTGGGTCTGCTCTGTGTCCGATGCCGATTCCAATTCTGATTCCCTGATGCCCCAGCGCTGGCGTTATTGTTATTATCATCTGGGCATTTGTCACTTTTTTATCGCATGCTAATTGTAATTGCCGGCACGTGAGTGGCTGTCAGTCAGATTCGCATTTGTTTCGACTCGATTCGAGAAGCCTCCGTCCACCGCCTACCGTCCTCTGTCCACTGTCCTCCCTCAAGAACCAGCTCCACCTCTCCCTCCATGGGCCATGGCCCAGTCACGGACTACTGGGGACTGCCGTGTTGCCGGATTGACGAAATGCCAAATTGGAGGACAGGGGAACGGTCGCCACAGGTCATCAACCATCAGCATCAGCGTTGGCCAATTGTCGCAGCAGTGATTATTATTTTTGTGTATTTCCTAGAATTAATGTCCAGCGAGTAAATTGTCTTAATCTCCGCGACAACGACTTCCAGTGCTTTGGCGGAACGCCTCATAGCTTATAGCTTATAGCCAGTATCTAGTATCTTGTATCTTGCACAGTCAGCCGACAAAAAATCAAAGAATCAACAAGCACAACAGCTCAGCGAAAACGGAAAACAATCTGCAAGATTTCAAAAGTCGATGTTTTTATGAGGAGGCAGCGAAGAACTCTGCCCAGAGTCTGAGTCTCGGCAGGAAGCCGTGAAAAATAGTCAGACAACAGTATTATATGGTCTCGGGGCATTTATTTATACTTTGGCATCTTTTTTTTGTCAGCCAACTGCATCTATTAACTCTCTGAAGCTCTGCAAGGGCCAATTCAATTACAGTCATTAAAATGCGTGCCTACTTTAATTACAAACTTCAAAACACAGAAAAGGGAAGTCTCTCCCCCCAGAGCCCTAAGAAGAAAAACTTCTTCCATGGGGCCTGTCTCACGCCCCTGGCCACTGTCCCCTGTTGCCAGTTTCCTGTCGCCTATCCACTCGACACTGTCCACTATCCACTGTCATCGTCCAACCAGGTTTAGGTCCAGCTCCAGACCAAACCAAACCAAAACCAAAGCCAAAGACAACACCAAACCAGACCCTGGCCAAGCGTATTATGCGACAATGACCTCTTTTCCGTGCTTAGGACATTCAAGGCCAATAACAAAGAGTTATGTATCCATGAGATACAAAGGCAAGACTAGTTTCGCCGATCAAGCAGCTAGCAGTCTAGCAGCCCCGACAGCCATCTTCAGGTGCACGCAGAGAAATAATTAGTGGTGGTACATGGAAGCCACTGACAACTAATAGTTCCCGACAACTAAATCGCATCTGATGCACCAGGCAACTTCAGCCAACCCTAACGACTTCGGGGGGCCTTTCTCTCAGTGCACTAAACACTACACAGGGCTGCTGAGCTCTATGCTGCACTGGCATGTGGCAGCCAAGGAGAACACTTTGCAACAAAGTGCTCCGCGAATAAAGTGCGTCCCGGGCAGCGCAGGAGGTGTCGGCCCAAGACTTCTGCCGGCCAATAATGATAATGGTAATGGTAATGACGGACTTCGCCGGGTAATGCCAACGATAATGGCGCGTTTTGTTGGCCACTGCAGGAGGACACTGTCTGTGGATATGTGGATGGACGCAGATTGCCACGCAGCATCCCCCGCCCATGCGAGTCCTGCTCCTAGACTCCCGCCTGGACTGGGCAAAATTTATTGCCTCGCAGAGCCCAAACGCTGAATCCCGAGCTCTTCGCCAAATATTTATGCAAGCCAAGAGCAGGAGCATAAAAATGTCGCAAAGCATCTAGCCAGGCACCATGGAACACCTACCAGGCCAGGTACCAGGTACCAGGCACCCGAGCGCCTGAGATCGTACCCGGTTTCGGGTTATAAATAAACAAGTGCCATGTCGGTCTCTGGGAGCGTTCACTGTACACCCTGAACACTGAATAGAATCAACCCGCCATCCCACTTGCCATGAGCAAGACTTGAAGCACAAATCACAAAGCACAAATGGCTTGCCCAACCGTTTATCCGTGGAAATCATTGAGCAACTTGATAAATAATAATAATTGCAATTATGCATGATTTTTCTAAAATGCAAATATTTATGAGATTATGAGATTTGAGCTTAAGTTTTCAGTTTTCAGTTTTCAGTTTGAGGCTGGTGGTTTGTTGTTTTCGTGACGGGGCAGTCGAGAAAAACGTCGCCGACCTTCAAAAGCCGCTAATGAGCGGTCGGCAGTAAAGGTTTTCAGTTTTTCTATTTTTGGGTTCTAGGAATTTGCATAGAGCTCTGATTTTGGGTCTGGTTTACAAGATCCTGCTAGCTACAGGTACTCTCCGGCATGGGTAGGCAGGCAGGCAGGCAGGTAGTCCCTAACCGAGATCGTAAACCGAAAAACCCAAGACCAGATGGCCGTGTTACTATGCGACTATCTAGTCGGACAATCTTCGTCATTAGCTTATCGGGCCCATTCTGGAGACAGAACTATAACTAGCGTACAGATCTGAATTAGAGTCTGATGTGTCTTTTGTGGCGTTTCCAAATCCAATCAGAGCACGTTTAACTCGAGACCCCTTGTCGCAGCCAGAACTTTTCCGCCAAACGATTGTCTGACCTTAGAGAGGCGGGAGACGTCGTCGCATCTTCGACACAAAGTACCTGTATCTCTGTATCCCCCCAAGATACAAGACACAAGTATCTGTGTATCTGTGGGTCTGTGCCTGTGCCTGTCCCCGTGCCTGTATACTTGGATCGTCTTTTTGTGCAAGGCCTTTGTGTCCCCGCTCTGGGGTTGCTCAATTTTCGGCTTCGGATTCGATTCGGATTTTGTAAGCTTGTGGCAAATTGGATGAGCGTGGAACTTTCCACACCAGCACGCATCTATCCATCTATCGATTCATGCCTCCCCTGCTGCAGGGTCTATAAAAAGAATCCCCAGCTCCCGAGGCCCCGCAGGGCATTTATCATTCTATGATAATCAACGATCGAACCTGCGATCCGAGCCAAGTCGCTTCGATTATGTTAATGATGTTCTTCGTCCCCGATGCGTCGTTGGATGCGCCTCCTGCCCTGCCAAAGTTCTAGTAGACAGCAGCAGGCTCCCCTGCCTCCTGCCTCCTACCATCTGCCATCTACCATCTACCATTGGCCATCTACCATCTACCATCGCGGCCATCTACCATCCTCCAATACCAATTCCGATACCAATACCGGTTTCTGCTCCCCAGCTCCTGCCAAGCCAATTCCTCGCCAAAACCACAATTAAGCATTTTGCTTTGGCCCTCTCGGCACACTCAGAAAAACTATCTGTTAAGATTCTTGCAATTATTTAGATTATTTTCCAAACGATTGAAGGCAAAGTGAAGCCCTTTTCTGGCTGTGTGCTCTGGCTGATTGCTGATATTATCGTTGGCCCGGCAGGGCATATTCTGCATTTGAAAATCGTGCCTGGTTGTGATCGCGATCCTGGTTTAAAAATAGCCGGAGTCCTCCCGGTGGAGCACCTCCCAGAGCTCCTCCTACTGCGCCCCCCGATAGGAGAAGTCTTACAAATTGCATTCGCTTTAAAAATAGACAACGCCGCCGCCGCCGTCTGTCTATTTATGGAGAAAGGGCTCCGTCGGCGGCTTAGAGTGACTAAAAATATCCTGCTACCCGCTGGATCGATCCTGCAGAGCGTCGCTGCTGGGACTCCAGCTCCTCACGTACACCGCTCCATGTACAGAAGGGACATCCAAGCCGAAGCCGAACCTCAGCCCAAAACCAAAGCCAAAGCCAAAGCCAAGAGCAGCTCAACGATGTGGTACCGCTCTGCCCGCTTCCTGCTGCCCTCTGTCGACGGCCGGCTGCCGCGCCAGCTGCTACGCCGACTGCGGCAGCGGCAGAGGCAGCGCCGTCCGACGTTCGTCATCCGGCGACTGTATAAAAACGGGCCGCGCCGCTGCCAGCCACTCAAAGTGCTTCTTAAAACTGACCGGACCGGTGAGAACGCAGCGCACCGCAGCGGATTAAGAACCTCACAGATACTCAGATCCTCAGATCTTCAGATCCCTCAGATACACATCTTTTTTTTGGACATCTTTTTTTTGTGCGTGTGTTGCAGGGCCGCGATCCCCGAAAAGAACCACAAAACGAACTCATCCGCCAAACCAAAAAAAAACCCAAGAGTCTCGTATCTGTGAGATAGTGTATCCAAACTCGAAAGAGATTTCTGAAACCCACTGTTGCAGTTCGCCGACAGACAAAGCTACTTCGACCCGAGGTGAGTAGAAAAGGCAGGAGTGTTGCCGACATCAAGAGGCCGAAAGGTCAGAGGCTGCACCTGCGCCTCCACCACCACCTGAGCACCTGTGTTCTGCTGTATCTGCCTCCAAAGATACATCCCGGGGACGCGATGCAAATTGGCAGTTGCAACACCTTAAAAAGTGTCTTGTCGATTCTTCGACAAGCCGCCTGTTGGTTTCGCTTCAAAGACCATGTCTTTCTGCCAGAGATTGTCTTTCCGCAAACAGTTCTCCTCCTCCACACTGGAAGACGAATATCCCATCTTAGGGCTCTTATTTTAAAGGCTTCTTGAACATCTTCTAATTTCCAATGCTTAGATATAAATATTTAAATTCGAGCTGTTCTTTAAAAAGATTAAGAATATTTCTTTGATTCCAAGCTGGTTAAAGTTTTGATAGCCCACTAAAAGATAGAGCCCCAAGAGGGTCTCGAAATCAAGTTCTTTGCGGATTCCGTTAGGTTGTCTGGCCTAATGGCTTGATGGCTTGATGGCCTGATGGCTGTTTTTGCCATAAAAACCATCGAATTGATTAGCATTAGGAAATGAGCAGGTGGCTTAAAAGAAGACCAATTTGCAAGTCACCGATCCGATCCGATCCGACCTGAGCTGATCCAAATGATCTGCATTTGAATAAACCAGCGAGCTTATCTCGCCAAGATCTCGCCAGCCTCAGGGTGGGTTATCGGACTCGGCGAAGAACCGGGGACATGGCATCATTCGGATGTACCAGTAGTCCCTGTCCCAGTGCCAAGGTCCGCGATCTCCGCCGTAATTCAATTGTAATTTTCCGCTCTTTTCCTCAAATCTGGTTTAATTGAATTACAAAAGCGGAGGCATTTGAACGAATCCGAGCTCTTTGTTTGGCAATTGCTAATCTGGAACCTCCTCTTCCGTTTCCCGACTTCCCAATTTCCAGGATGAAGTGCCAACTGCTTTTCGTGGCCGCCGTGTGCCTGGTCTCCGTGTGGGCCCTACCTGTTCCGGACGAGGAGGTGGCCATCCAGCCTGACGGCGGCTCCAAGGCCGAACTCCTGGGCAAGACCGTCCAGACCAACCCCATCGAGCCTGCCCCCGCCAAGCCGGAACCGGAGAAGGCTCCTGAGCCGAAGAGTGCCCCAGCTCCCGCTGCTGCCGCTGCTCCCGCTCTTGACGCCACTCCGACTTCTGCCCCGGCCGCTGCCGCTCCTGAGGTCACTCCTGATCTGAAGTCCAGCGCTCCGGACGTAGAAACCGCCCCGGCCATTCCCGAGAAGAAGATCCTGCCCGAGGAAACCAAGCCAGTTGAGGAGGCCAAGGCACAGCCCCAGGAGATCCCTGCCGAGACCGAGAAGAAGCAGGAGAAGTCCGCCCGCACGGAGCCTGAGGTGGAGGAGCCCAAGGCCATTCCTCTGGTGGAGAGTCCTGTTGCCAACGTAGAGGTCCAGAAGCAGGTCGTCGACGAGGTGACCAAGTCGCTGGAAGTGCCATCTCCCGCCGAGAAGGAAGCCACACCCTCCGAGCAGCCCGCCCGTCAGGAGCGCATCAACGAGATTGAACAGAAGGAGGCTGCCAAGAAGGAGGAGGCTGCTCCGGAGTCTGCTTCTGCCGCTCCAGCTACCCCGGCCGCCCCCGCTTCGCCTTCCGCCCCCGTCGAACCCGCCGCCAAATCAGAGTCCAACATCCAGGTGATTGCCCCCGCCCAGCCCGAGACCAAGTCCGCTCCTGCCGTTTCTCCAGGCGCCCAGATCGCCCAGGCCAAGTCCGCAGCAGCCCCCGCTCCAACCGCCGCCGCCCCAGCACCCGCCCCCGAGCCAGCCCAGCCCGTGGAGCAGCAGAAGAGCACTGAGACCGCCGCCGAGCCCTCGCCCGTCCTTAAAGCCAACCCCGAGCAGGAGAAGGAGGCGGTGAAGGAGCAGCCCTCTGCTGAGGTGGAGCAGACCAAGTCCCTACCGGAGAAGAAGGAAGAGAAGGTGGAGAAGGTAGAAGCTGCCCCTGCCCCCGCACCCGAGGCCAAGAAAATCGACGACGCACCCGCTGCTCCAGAGCCCGTGGCCGAGTCTGCTCCAGCTCCAGCTCCAGCTCCTACTCCCGCTTCAGCTCCCGCTCCCGCTCCAGTCGCTCTGCCCTCGGAGCCAAAGAAATCGTCAGAGGAGAAGGGAGAGAAGTCAGAGTCGAAGAACGAGGAGTCGTCCGAGTCCAAGGAGTCGGAGGAGAGCAGCGAATCCAAGGAGGACTAAGGAGGAGGACCTAGGGAGTAAGAGAGCTTTACCCAATCCACGCCCGACGCATCCCCAGGACCACTTAAGCTTACGAACGTAGTTAGTGGTATGCTTACAATTAGCTGTAAAAACAAAATCACACACAAAGGATAACGGAAAGGATCTGCAAGGATCTGCATCTGGAGCAGAATCAATAGCAATAGCAATAGAAACAACCACAACAAACAGGACAACCGCTAAGATGGCATAAAGTTATACTTATAATTTTAATTTAATTAATGTAATTTTTTAATTAAATTTTAGTCATTGCAAGAGACCGACCTGTAACCTGTCACCACATCCTCCTGTCCCACCCAAGGACTCCACTCCTCCTGCTCCACACAACCAATCGAACACGCACACCCACAACACCCCCCTCCTCACACACTTTTTTTTTGTATTTTTGAGTTCTAAAATAATGATACCTACATTTAAACATACCGATAGTGTTATAACGTATATATGAGCAAGTATATATGATTTTATATAGACTGAGAAAATTCTTAAATAAAAAGCGAAAAACTAAGGACTGTCTTTGGCTGCCTCATCGGCTGGATGGAAGCAAAGTGCACTGAAAGCAGGTGGGCCGGCGGCTAAATTATATAGTGCGACTTGGATCGGGTAAACCAGTTACAAGTTCGCACAAATCCAATTACCCCCGATATCGGGTTACCGAGATCTTAGCCCGCCAAGTCGGCTATGCATTACGAGGCTCTTGAGCAGTACTCACTGTTGCAAAGATCTAATTGGGGGCTGTGGTGTTGCCTTGCCGTTGGAGAACAAGGGGTAACAAGGGGTTAGTCCGCCGGCTGTAGCTTACCTCTCGCGTCAGCATCTGACAGGCAATAACGCCCAAGGCCCACCAGTCCACCGCATGGCCGTAGGGTTCGCCGCACAGAATCTCAGGGGCTGGAATGAAACGAGAAGGCGGAGAACGTTTTACCCACTACCCGTAGTCGCAAACAAAGAACAAATATCAGAGGAGATCGAAGATAGTTCCGATTGGCGTTAGGTATTAGTATGGGGGGGGAGGAGCTGAAGGCAGACCAACTAACGGACGAACGGACGGACAGTCCCAATCTCAACGAGCTGTCGAAAGAGTGTGTGCTTCAAGGGATTTATTCTGCTTAGATTGAGAGTTTACAATAGTAGTTAGGTTTTAAAGTACATTTATCGATTAGGTTTATAGCTGGACATACACATAAACATGGATTTACAACGTACACATCTATAGATACACAGATACACATATGCTTGATCTCTACGGAGGCATAGAGTCGCCACTATCTCTTTAATCTCTACAAGTACAATCACAATCTGTTATACATACATCTGCGTCTGCTTCTGCGTCTGTCGGTTCAGACCTCAACCACCCTCCTCCGTCCGTCCATGCTCTATACATACTATATATTTTCGATTTCTCATTTATTTACACTGGCTTTTACGAATAACACGTTATAAACATATATGCATTGTGTCCGTACGGTGTCTACCGTGTGGCACCGCCGCTCTACTGACAGATCAGAGCTCCTGTTTGAAACGTTTGCAAGCTGATTTGGTGGGGAACTTTATATGCTGGCGTTACTTTCTAGGATCTGGCGTTACGGAACACTAGTTCCGTCTCCGTCTCTGTCTGCCTCTCGCCGAGTCCGTCCGTCCTGCTCACTTTGGAGCAGCCCCGTCTGAAAGCTCTACATCCTACCATCCGCGTAGCGGGCTTCCGCTGTACATCTATAGATTACTCAAAGTTAATAGACCGGCTGGCAAATAAATATTACCCTAGCATCAGAACATCTAACACAATAATGGAAAAAAGCTACAAAAAATATCTAAAAACACGAATAGCCATTAAAGATAGAGCCGAGGTATCCGTTTCCGATCCTTCGCCAGCCCGTCACATCGCGAGCGTCTCCTTGATCATCTTCTTCATGGCATTGCCCATGGACGGTGCCGCCGAGCCGGATGTGGAGTAGTCGAACTTGAACAGGTACGGCTGGACGTCCGGGAAGGAGGTGTCGAAGATCAGGTCCAGCTCGCTCTGGCTGGGCGTCTTGGGCACGTAGTCGTGCCGGTTCATCAGCTCCGTGATGTAGATGACCTTCTCCGAGAGCAGGTCCGAGACGTTCTCCCGGCACAGCTGGCGCTCGTCCTCGTTCTCGTGCTTGATCAGGTCCAGGTGCACGGTCCAGACCTCCCACGGTATCGACTCCTGGGGGAAGGGCCAGCGGGTCTTCTTCTTCTGGAAGAACTCCAGGCTGATCTGGCCGGAGCCGCAGCTCTCGTTGGAGCGCAGCTTCTCGCTGAACGAGTTGATGGCCCGCTTGACCTTGTGGGTGAGGCTGTCGGAGGTGCAACACACATAGGTGAAGTCGATGAAGTTGCAGTCCACGTCCGTGTAGCCGACCGTGCCGATGGAGTACTGGGCGTCGCCCGTGTACATGTACTTGCCCAGGCAGCGGTGGAAGAGGACGGTGTGGAAGATGGTGGCCACCGCCTCGTCCACCTGGCGACCCTCCATGGTCAGATCGAAGACTTGCGATCGGGCGTTCATGGTGGCTAAGGATCCTAGGATTTAACGTAGCGAGTGGGCGTGTAGGCGTGTGGGCGTGCGCGTTTATGTACAGTGATCTCTCCTGTCGCCTTTTGATTTCGTGCTCTTAACTTTACTTATTCTCTAGCACTAGAGTTACCCTTACAACTCCGATCTGGGAGTTCCTATACTGCTTCTGTTCCTACTTCTGATCCGTTCTGTTCCCCTCGGTTTCTAAGCTTTTGCTTTGGAACGGCGCCTCTTGGTTGGTTAACGCTACTAGTTTAGTATTCTACTGCTGATCGATTACTGATTTGATTGGATTAAGTTTGGATTTAGATCGTACCCATGTATTTGAATGTGCCGCACATGGTGCGCGTGTTGGCCCCCTGTTTGAGCCACTTGCTCAGCCCGAAGTCGGTGAGTTTGATGTGAAACTGTTGCGTTAGCAGGATGTTCTCCGGCTTGGCATCCCGGTAGATGATCCCGGCGTTGTGAAGGAAGTCTGAGGAATAGCAACAGATGGAAATGAAGGACTCATAGCTGAGCAGATGAACTCAGGACTCACCCAAAGCTATGGCGATCTCGGCCACGTACAAACGCACTAGATCGATGGAAAAGCGGCCAATCTTCGCGAACAGCTCTCCATTGGGCACATACTCCGAAACTGCAGAAAAGAACATAAATAATCCATCGCTTAGTAACGGGGATTTGGGGCACATACGGATGTGAAGATGATGACGATCCTGCCAAAGATCTACTTGTTTCACTATAAACGGATGGTGTCCGCACACCTTCTGGATGTCAGCTTCGTCCTTGATCTGGCGCACGCTGTTGTCCGCGATGAGCTTGGACTTCTTGAGGACTTTCAGCGCGTAGTGGAGGCCGGGCTCCTGCTTGCTGGAGACCTTGAAGACCACTCCGAAGGACCCCTTGGCCACAAGGTGATCAAAGTTGAACTGGTCGTTGCGACTGGGCTCCTTGAAGTGCGAGCTGAAGATGGAGTTTGTCAGCGGGCGGTGCCAGTGGGTCTTGCTGCGCCGTGAGCCATGCAGAGAGGTAAAGCTGGAACGGATTGGAGGTTAGACCGAGGAGATTTGGAGAGAACGGAGCTCACCTCTTGCGTGTGGTCTTGTTCCGGTTGCGGAAGGAGTTCCTGGCCGCCGAGAAGCTCCAGTTGAGGCGCCGACCACCGCTGAGACTGCTCAGACTCCAGGTGGAGAGCTGCTGCTGCTGTCGCTGCTGGAAAAAGGCAGGTAGTTGCAAAAATAAGATTCTGGGAACCGCGGATCAAGGCAGCGGATTAGGTAGGGCTTACCGCTTACCTGCCGGGGAAATCCGGCAAATTAATGTTCTTTGGGTTTGGGAATGGCTAAGAGCTAGGGCCTAAGGGCTGTGAGCTGGACAACGTCAGAGGCTGTATTGTCCGGATCGGGCAATTCTCTCCAGAGTATATACTCAGGCATACAAAAAACAAACAGCTGACTAGCGATGATTGTCATTTGGACGATATTGTTTTCGTGGGTGCTGTTAGCCCGCCTTTCTACCGCCCCTGCCCTCGTCTCGTCACCGAACTCGTTTCAGGCACTATTTTCGTTTCAACTTCCTCACCCAGTTTTTATTGTTTATGCAAACTGTATTGTGGTAGTCTTGGGGCCAACCTAACACGAAGAGCCAGTTTTCGAGCATTTCCCTGCATGAGGTCACCTGCCCCCTCCCACCTCCCCCCCGGCCAACTGGATCATCGGATCTTTCCCCACTGGTAGGCGCGATAATGCCCGCCCATATGTATACGCGAGCATGTGTATATTTTTTGCGCAGCGCCTGAAGCGCTCAATTGGCATGGCCCTGAAATCAGTGCGACGCATGGCACACGAACTACAGCGCACAGTGTATGGCTGACGGCGAAACGCGGAAGAGCAAACATTAGATGGCCACACGTGCTCCGTATGGGTGTGGGAAGTGGGAAATGGGAACTAGGCACTGGGCACTGGGTGCTCGGACTCGGACACGGACAGATTGGGGTTCAGGGCTATAAAGAAGAGCCCTGTAATGCGTCGTTTGCTGCTGATTCAGCCAAAAGGCGGATAATGACGCAGTATTTATTTATTGTTTTGCGCCAACATCGATAAGCTGGTCGTTATCTTTACCTGGAGATGGGGATGGGGCTGGTTGCGCTCCTCCTCGGCGGCAGCTAACTGCGCACGGGGCACGGACTGAGTGCGAGGATGAGTGTGCGATTGCACCTGGGCAGATGGGGCCTCTCCAGCTGGGTGCTCCTGGGCCTGGTCCGCTGCTGCTGATCCGGCGGCAACTTCTCTGCTAGCTTGCCTCGTTTGCGAATTGCCCATCAAAAGCGTGCTCCACGCGTGCTAGCCAGGCCTGAATCCAATTCCGCTTTTGAATCCGTGCTTGGTCACTGGTGTTGTTTACGCACACAGGCACGCACTCGGTCACACACACGGGCGCGGGATTGTGCAATCGCAGAGACAATAAAGCGTGATGGAACGGACAAACATACAGCACACATGTGTCTGGCCGAGGCTTTCAACAAATATGTTCCAACAGCTACCTCAATAGCTGCCTATTCTTTTTTAATATTATTACGATTTGTTGTTGTTGTTTTGCTGGTAGGTAGAGCGGACACACAGTTCTATATCGAAACATCGATAAGAATTTCACAAATTTGGCCGATATAAATCAGCACGGAAATCGATGTTTTAGCTCAACTTGTAGTATGTTTTTGGTATTTATTGAACTTTGACACATCGCTAATAATAATCGGTGCCGCTATCGATGATTTTAGCTCATGTTGTGCTAGTATTTATCTGGCATTTATCGAACTTTGGCGCACCTCTAATAATTCTCAGAATGGTATTTTAGTGTACGATAGTTTTTGGTATTGGTGCCATCATTAATGCAAGAATCGATACCCAGTTATCGATATAGGCTCCAAACAAATTTCATCTCCAGCTGTCATCTGTATATCATTGCAAAAGAAATCGTATATTGGTTCGCATTCGAGTTCCCGTAAAGAATTTCGTGTAAAAAAATCTATTGATTAAACGGTAAGTGATTATTAAAAAAAACATCCAATCGAATAATTAAACATAGGCCGGCGCGAAATACAATCTAGCGCGGCGCTTTTATTATTTTTTTCCGTCTGCTTGAAATGGGGGCTCCGCCGGCCGTCCAGCGGAGCCCTGATTTTGTGCACACATACATATATGTATGTTTTCACCGACTCTCCGCGGTGGATACACACAAATGCACGAACAAGTGAGAGAGGGGGTTTTGTTTCGTTTTCGCATGACGGATGCAGCGGAGTCTACGGAGTACACCTTGTGCTTTTGTTGGCGCTGTTTTTTCCAAAATGGCGCCGCAACAACAAATTGTAATGATTTGGCCAGCAAGTTTTGGCTTGTTTAGTGTTTACTTCTCTGCAAAGATTTCGCGCCAAAAGGATGACTAATCGCGCTCTTTCGTGTGGTGGCATATATTTTTTGGGGGGAAACAGAAATGTGGGCGCTTTTAACTAATTTATTTAACTATTTCTGCGCGGCTGTGTGTGTATACCAGCGCGCACACACACACGCACATGCCGCCAAAGCAAATGCAAATGTGCATGTGTGTTTGTCATGCGCAGTGCATTCGGGCTTCTAGTTTCTTCTTTTGTGTCCCCTTCACCCTGCCTTCGGGGTTGCAACTTTCTAATGCCTCAAATTGCATCATTAGCGAATGTTTCCAGACGCTGTGAATAATCCACACGCACACAGGCGCAGAAACAGACGCGCGAACGGCAAGGTAGGAAAGGTAGAAACAACGACGCAATTAATTAGCCCCTCGCCCCCCCGCTGTCTGTGGCGGAATGTGCTATAGTGTCGTCTCCCTCCAACTCTGCTTTTTTCCGTTTTGTTTATGTTTACTCTTTTGGCGCTCTGTGGAGGCTCACATTTCGGCCGTGCAGTGTGCACACTTCTAGCCTTTCCCCGCTTCTCCCCGCTATAGATGGAGCCGATGAGCCAGAAATAATGAAAACTGCAACTCATTACTTCAACTTGACTGATTCCGCATAAAACAAATTATACGAACACATGGGGGACAAAAGGCAAGACGCTCAAGAGGCTCGGCACGACATGGGAAAGGCCAGGTCTAGCTTTCGGGGAAACGGGCCATGTGCGATCGGAGGTCGGAGCACAGAAAGAAAGGAGCACAGCTGCGTCCAACATAATAGGGGCACACCAAAGTTCCAGCCGGCAGCTTCTATTGGGCCTAGCATCTCTCCCAGCCTGGGTAGTCAAAACAACAGGCACAGTCCCATGCCAGGCGGTATTGTACTAGCCCGCGGTGTATTGTGTGCACTCGCACACAAAAGCTGAAGTGGCCACTTCACTCAACTCCACTTCTCTCCAATGTGCTGGTACGCGGCCTGCCAAGACACGATTTTTTCCATCCACTCGAGTGGAAGTTTCTCGAGTGCCCAGCGGTGTTCCCAGAAGAAAAAGAAAAGGAGGAAATTTGTTGTGTTGATGTTCGGAGGCAGCTGTCACGCCAGATTGCTTGCTGGGCAGCTTGAGCTGCGTTCCAACTCCAACCCTGGTCGGCGGTTTACGCTTCTGTTACTTTTCGTCTTGGGTTTAAGTCGTTCGGAGCCGTCAGTTGGCCGGCAGCGCTTCGGCGCTGCACATCGGTCTTAACTTTGGCTTTCTTCAACCAGAATTATCCTGTAACTAGTCCTTGTTTAATACCATTCCTTATCATTTACTCCTGTTTTGATAATTTATTAATAAATTATTCCAATCTACTTGCAGCTTGAAGTAAGATGGCCCGTACTAAGCAGACCGCCCGTAAGTCGACCGGAGGAAAGGCTCCGCGTAAGCAGCTGGCCACCAAGGCCGCTCGTAAGTCCGCCCCGTCCACCGGCGGAGTTAAGAAGCCCCATCGTTATCGCCCTGGAACCGTGGCTCTCCGTGAGATCCGTCGCTACCAGAAGTCCACTGAGCTGCTCATCCGCAAGCTGCCCTTCCAGCGCTTGGTGCGTGAGATTGCCCAGGACTTCAAGACCGATTTGCGTTTCCAGTCGGCAGCCATCGGTGCTCTGCAGGTGAGAATCCTCGACGCCGTGCCAGTTTTCACAGTGTACTTATCCGTACCTACTCCTTGCAGGAAGCTTCGGAGGCGTACTTGGTGGGTCTTTTCGAGGACACCAACTTGTGCGCTATCCACGCCAAGCGCGTGACCATCATGCCCAAGGACATCCAGCTGGCGCGCCGCATTCGTGGCGAACGTGCTTAAGCACCTAGACCGGGCTCCCCACTACCCTTTCCACAGCGCGCACGCGCCGCTTGGGCTCACTTTGTTTACCATCTTGAAACAAAATCCGTGCCCACGACGGCGTCTCCCAGATCCCACAAGGAGCAACCACAATTTGATCAATCTATCATTCATATTTACATGTATACATTTACCATACTTTTGTTAAGAAAACCGATCATTGTCGCGACCAACACCTGCGAGTTTCGATGACGAAAAAGCAACAAATGCAAACAAAAAAAACAAAAAACAAACCGTAACTATAACATACTTTTAACTTTATTATTATTGCTATTATTATTGTACACTAGTTTTAAGTTTTTTTTTCGCTTGTAGCGGCTAGCTCGTCTCAACGGTCGCGCATCATCCTGGCCTCTCCGCCGTCCGACTCGCGGGCCTTCCCTGGCAGCTCTCGTCGCCTGTCCGCCTGCAACACCCGCCACCACTCTCCAACAACTGTCCGGAGGGCGGGTCGCGGTCGCAGACGCCGCTGGATCGGAAGGCGCCTCCATCCTCGGATCGTTCCGAGGGGACCCAACACCTGGCCGCCTGGACTAGCGCGTCTGCGGCCGGGACCGTACAAACGGCCTCCGGGCGTGGCAAGGCGGACAGACGGCGAGCGGACTGCCGCCGGACGTGCCCCGGACGAGCGGAGGGCCGCGGACGGCGCGGCCGGATCGGGGCGAGCGAGGCGACTACTCGCTAACATACACATCTGAACATGGTATCCAGCATAACAACACCGAAGACCGAATTGAGTACACTTTACTTTAAACTGATATAAAAATATATCTATATAGAACACTAGAAGTTAATGCTCCTTTTTTCCTTCTGTTACTGCGAGCTGCTCGCTCCGAGACACGACAACGCGTTTGGCGAAGGGAAGGGAGTGAGGAGGAGTAGTTGACTTATAAGTCTAGATTTACGTGCATTTTATACGTTTAGGCGAGATAAACAGAAATAGAACGGACCCTCCAACAACCAGCAGCCACCAAGCGACCCGGTGCTGTGGAGAGTATCCGAGAGTGTAGCACAGTGATCTTAAGTATAACCACAGTCTATATATTTCACAATATTGCAATATGTATGTAGCTGGAACACGCAAAATATCAATGTCTAACGCATGTATAACGCATATTTTTAAACCGGTGTCGATAATCCTGCTACCCATTGGACCTTAAATCTAAATCAGTTAAACCCCGAGTTCAAACTCCAAATTCAGAGACCCAATCCAGACTTCAGACTGGGCCTAGGCCCATCCAAAAACCGGAAATAGCAAAATAGCAATAGCTTCCATCGAAACATTTGCAGAAAAAAATTCAAAAAAAATACAATAAACGGTTTTTTCTAGTGAAAAAGCCAAAAAAAAGAAAAATGTTTAATTTTGCGATAGAGCGAGAGGGAGCTAGATAGTTGTGTTTTGGGAGAGGTGGTGGCGCGGGGGGTGGTGGCACTGCCGCCAAGTGACGGTACAGTTGGCTCCAAAATCAACGTCATTCGCTGTCGACGTGTGCGATTATCTCGCTGCGTGTTGGTGTGAGTGTGCGAGCGAGAGAGCGTGCGTCTGTATGTCTGCGAGTGGGTGGCCCCTCCGTCCCCCTGCTCGCTGTGACCTGGTGGGTGGGGGGTTCCTGGGCCGCTAGACCGGGGATGGGATGGGGGGGGATCTGAGGAGCTCGACACGAACCAGCATGATTACTTCTGCTACCAAAATGGTACAGTAGTCCCTCCTTCGGGCGGGAAACAAGAGGCACCTTCCTCTATATTATAAAAGTTACATTTATTTTATCGTATATGTTTAGCATACAGATCAAGTTATGAAATCATAGCTGGCGAAAAAAAAACACTAAACCTAGGCGTGAGGAGCGCGATGCAGAGTGCGGGTGCGGATGAGCTTGCGGCGGAGTCAGCTATCTTACAACACGGGGAGAAGAGATTGGAGTATGCATTAAATTAGGCTCTACAGCTAGGAGTCCATCGAGGGTCGCTATTCAGTCCGCTTCGTGCTTCTCCGCCTCGGGGTGCTTGCCAGGAGCCGCTGGCGCCGGCACAGCCCCGCTAGGGACCGGTGCGCCGCCTGGAGCCTCCCCCGACGGTGCGCCACCGACTGGCGGTGGTCCCGCTCCGACTACTGGGGGTGGATAGGGTCCTGCTGCTGCCCCTGGTGCGCCGCCCGGTACGCCAGGTCCTCCGGCAGGCGCTCCTGCGGATCCAGGCACCCCTGCTCCGCCTGGTGCTCCTGCCGACTCGTGAAGGTGCTGTTGCTGCTGCTGCGGAGGTGGTGGATTGCTGCCGTGTTCCGGCGCGTACGGATGTCCTGGATTGCCGTTGTGCTGCGGTGGCGGTGGACGCGGCGACATGTAGTGCGAGCCCGGAGGAGGTCCATAGGACTGTTGGTACGGCGAAAACGGAGTGTAATACGGCTGCGGCGTGGGATGTCCTCCGTACTGAGGCTGGTAGTACGGGCGCGAGGGACCGCCAGGAGGTCCTGGTGGCGGACCATGTGGTGGACCGCCATAGTTAGCGTAGCCTGTGTGCGGTGGCGGCGGCAATCCCGGCATTCCTGGAGGGGGCTGGTGCGGCGCCATGTGGGGTGGCATGTGCGGATGTCCTGGCGGGGGCGGGTGGCCCGGATGTGGATGCATCTGGGGCATGCCCGGTGGAGGAGCACCCGCTTGTTGCTGTTGGCCCAAAGGAACCTGCTGCTGCACAGGCGGTGGAGTGGGCGGAGCGCCACTGGACACTCCCGGAGCTGGAACGGCGGGTCCTGCTCCCACCTCCGTCGGCGGAGGCGAGTTTGTCGCCTTGTTTGGATTGACCAGCACCTTGGGAGGCTCCGGCTTGGGAACCGTGTCTGCAGCCGTGGACTGCGGCGGCAGTGCTGCCGCCATTTCCAGCTTTTCCGGCTTGATTGGCGGCGGAGGTACCGACGGTTTTGGCGGCGGCTCAATGTCCATTGGCTCTGGATCCGTCTTGCTAGCCGTCTCATGGTGGTGCACAACTGGAGCGGGCGGATTATGAGGAACACTGGGCGTGGGCATTGGCGTGGGTGTAGAAGCTGGCGCGGGAGACGGCGCTGGCGCAGCGGGCTTCATGACAGGCTGATCCTTGGGCGGGGCAGCAGAAACTTCCGGAGCGGCGGGTGTGGCTCCAGGCTGAGCCGGCTTCCCGGAATCCTCTGTCCTAGCGGCAGGGTTTGTGGCGCTGTTGGCATTCGGCTCATCCAGCCGCTGGCGGTCCCGCTTTATGTCCTCGTACATGCGGTGCACCATCTTCTGGAAGGTCTCTTCGTCCACCGCCGGCTTGCAGTGGCGTTTCAGCTCCTCCTGGAACGCCTCGCTCGACTCAACCATGCGTTGCTTTTTGGCCTCGAACTTTTCCTCCATCTGCTGCAGCTCCGCCTCGAGCTTTGTCTGGTGCATCGTGAGCGAGCTCACCTGCCGTTTGAGCACCTGCATCCTAGTGGTGGTCACCACGGAACGCACGTCCGGCACCACAGCCTCCGAGAATATCTCGTTGATAAGGCGGTGGTTCCTCAGGTAGCGAGCATAGGCCATGTGTTTGGCGGTGTAGCCCTCATCCTGGTCGTCCTCGTCCTCCGCCGGCTGGATATCGATGCGGCGCTCGTGCTGGGACTTGCTGCCGCCGCCACGCGAAGGTGTCTCGTGCATGTCAACGTCAGTCTTGACCTTGCTCTTAGCCGACATGTACGCCTGATAGGCCGGCGTCTGGTGGTAGGCCTTCAGCGCCTTCTCGTACTCCAGCTTCTCAGCCTCGTACTCGTCAATGAATTCCGTCTTCTCCTCGTCGCCGAGTAGCTTCCACATGGCGCCGATCTTTTTGCCAAGCTCCCAGAGTTTCAGCTCCGGATGCTGAGCCTTAACGCTGTCCCACACGCGTTTCGAGTACCGCATGTACGGCAGAATCGGCTTCTCCGGTGGCTTCGGCGGCTTTGGCAGTCGGGACTCGTTCTGGTTCTTGCTGCTGGAGGACTTAGTTACCTTCTGCGGTGTGAACGCAGGATTCCCGTAGTTGCTGTGGGTAAATATGGGTGTTTGGTCCTTGTTCCGATCGGCAGCACTACCGCCGCCGGCTGACCTGGACCGGCTGCTGCCGCCTCCACCGCCTCCGGTGTTGCTGCCTCCGCCGACGCCCTGGAGAGGATTGGCCGGACCAGCACCTGGCGGCGCACCCACTGCTATCTGCTTATAGTTGCTCGGCAGAGCCATCGCTGGATCGTTTTGTCAAAATCTTATAATTCGCGCGGCACAACAACAAAAATTTTCAGGCCGACGCCATTTTTCTCTGTTCTGCGTCGCTGGTGATGACACTTTGTTATGTAGGTGTGTATGTGTAAAATGTATATCGTCCCAGTTCCACCGCTATAGTATTTTACTAGTCCATCACTATGGACATCTGAACATCACGTCTGGCCACACTTTGAAAGGCCGTCACAGATACAAACAGGAGGAAGGCGAATTTGATTGCTTATTTTAAGCATTTGAACTGGATAACTGATGAACGCGAAGACTGTAAGTGTGGATTTAAGATACGAACGCTACAGCATAGTAAGTAATGTCAAAATCGTAGGCGCAAGTCAACTTAATAGTGTGGGTGAATTGAAAAAGCTTAAAGAATTTACAAGTGAAGTGTGTACAAGAAAAGACGCAAGAGAAAAGAAGAAGAAAAACGGCACCGAACCGAAAATAAAATTTACAAAACGAGGTAAGGAATACAGTACGAGTATTGTTCTCAACTGGTTGGACTGCTTCTTCCCGCAGGTTCTAGAGCGGACACCTTCGATAGATTGCCTGCGCGTTTTTGTTTGTAATTTTTTTTGTTGTGTCCCGGAATGAGCTTTTTGCCCGGCGAGCCGTTGCCGCCCGGATACGAGGAGGAGGATGTGGCCAGACCGGCGGTTATCCAAAAGCAGATTGAAAGCTACAGTGGAGGAGCTCTTCTAGGTACAGAGTACGCAATTGAGCTGCACGAGGTCGGTCAACCGCGTCCCGACTACTACTGCGTCCTCTGCCAAACTTGCAATGACAGCCGCTCCATCTTCGTGCACTGGACCTCTCTAGCGCACCGGGCCAAGTATCTCCAGACACACTTCCAGAAGGCCTACGACGTGCTCCAGAAGCTCAAGCGCATACCCAACAGTGCCGGCGATCTGGTTATCGCCACCGGGAATTTGGCCCAGTTGATAGAGAAGCAGTTTGGGCGGGCGCGTCAGGTTACGACGGCTACAAACGACGACTTCCGACGCAACCGAGATAAAATGTTAAACCAGGTGAGGGACAAGCCCCACTTCGACGAGAGTTCTGGTTCCGATTTTGTGGAACAGGCCCAAAGCGTGCTCCGTGAGCTTAAGCCCGACGATCCCAGCATCAAGATTAATCTGAAGATTAACGAGCCCGAAAAGCGCGAGGATGGCAACATTATCTCCCTGGACGCCATATCCAGTGACGATGAAAGTTTCGGCCCAGGCCCTGGCCCCGCGACGGCTAACGAAACACCCAAAAAGACGCCGAGCATTCGAAGCGCCAACAGTTCGCCTCCGCGTCCAGGTGGCGAAAAATCAAAGCATACTCAGCACCTGCCCACGCCCAAGGAACTGTCCTTCCAGGCTGCCATGATTGCTCAGGAGCGCTACAAGTGGGAGAAGTTTCGCTGCCTTCTCGAAATCCAGCTGAAAAAGCTTCGCGACGAGACGGAAACCTACGAGTCGAATCCGGAAAAGCATCCGGACTATCCGGACGAATGGAAACAGTTCTGGAACAGGCGCTACAAACAGCTGCAGGAGGAAAAGAAGGTGGACCCCAATCACTACGACTACAAACCAGAGTGGATCGCTTATTGGAAGGACCGCCGCATCGAGCTGTTCAACATAGCCGTCAACAAGATCAAAAAGGAGCTCAAGGAAAAGTTCAAGCTGGGCGACGACGACGAGGGCAAGACCAAGGAACTAATGGAGCGCTATAGAATCCGGGTCTCTAGTCCGAGGGAGGCCAGCGTTGCCGCCAATCGTCGCAAGCCGGCCCCCAGGAACACTGGTCGGCTGGGAGGAAGCGGTCCGGCTACTGTGGAAGCGGTAATAAACATAAGCGACGATGAAGTCTCCCAAACAACAAGTCGCAATCGACCCGCCTATCGGCGATCCGATTCCCGCTCCATTTCGCCCAAGCGCGGTGGAGGACGTCGGCCGGTAAGGCGCTCTAGGAGTCGTTCGCCGCGACGTTACTTTAGACGCGGCTCTTCCCGATCTCGTTCCCGCTCGCGCAGCATGCGTCGGCGCTCACGCTCTCCCGTCTACCATCGCAGGCGCGGAGGCCGGCATTCCAGAGACAGAAGCCTGTCGATTAGTCCCCGGGACTACCCAGATCGTCGCAGCTTTGACAGGGAACGCTCCAGTGAGTTCTATCGTGGAGGAGGGGGCGATGGCTACAGCCGCCCCCCAAGGAGTTACGAGCACGTGGAAAGTTTCCGCGTGATGGACTCGCGCGTTTATCCTGAGTACAGTGGTGCGAAGGTGCGATCTAGGTCCGCCTCGACCACCAAGGACAAGGAGGCGGAGCTCGGCGAAGAGGGACCACTCACCGTAGTCAGTGTGCTGCGCATGCTGTCCGCCGTGGAGGACCACTTGGGCAGCTTGGGACCGAAGGCACTTAACCTCTTGAGCAAGGCTTTGGCCATGGAAATGGTGCAACCGAATGCCGCAGACAAACTGCTCCACATCGAGGACAATTGCGTCTTTCTCGAGACCACCAAAGAAAAGCTAAAGGGCATCCTCATTGCAGAGGTCCTGGACGACCCGCACAAGGTACGCGTGGTCAAGAAACTGATCACAAACATAGCTGCCATCATTTTCCAGGTCAATTCCCGGGGTAAGTCCGCTTTGCTGCTCCATTTGGTAGTTATAAGTAGCTCTGTCCCGCTCACTTTCGCGCTTCTCCTCAAGACTGTAAGTATGATTACCGACCACTGAGGCTTTGGTTGACTCTCTCCCCGGATCTCCCTCCTGCGGGTAAAGGTTTGGTAGTTAAGACTCGTTCGTTGCTTAAGCCTGTGTGTTGTATTTGCGAAGCTTGATGTGATTTGGTGGTCCGTCCGAAGTAAACGATGTAAAAGGGGAACGGCCAGGTGCATGGCTGATTGGTGAATGGGTTCCAGGACACTTAAATCTATAATATATCGCTAAATCGCGCGGCTCGTGAAGTTTAAGCTTCCCAGATTCTGAGTACAGAATACTGAAGGGGCTTCGGTGCTGGGAAGGAGAAATCCATGCCATAGAAACTCAATAAATTAATGCTGGTTCTCTTTAAAGACTCTCTAAATAAAGATGCGAGTCGATCGTGTTTATTCTGGGGGGTTAGATCTCTCTGATAATATGATCTCTGATAATAAAACATGAATACCTTTATTTTTATTGTAATCGAGTGCTTATTCGAAGCGATTCGGTCGTGCGTGGAAACATCTAAACATTTCGAAACTATTATTTCCTTTCGTGGTTGTCGCGAGCTGAAGGATCAATGTGTGAAGGATCCTTGTCTCTGCCGCGTTCATTCCCCCATTAGATTTAAGCCACTCTGCCAACTTTGTTTACAAATTTGATCCTCTCTGTCGCGACTTCAACCGCCTTGCGTTGAAACTTACGTACTAGCTTCCTTATTTTGTTGGGTGTGAACAAAGTGTGCCGATACGAACCGCGTGAGCAGACGACAGCCCAGGTCCAGGTCCAGGTCCAGCAACCATCTCCACACCACACCATTTCCATAAGTATAAGTATAAATGTAATTTGCGTAGTTAACAAAACAAAGACCTGCACTTGCCTGATTGCAACAAAAGCAAACAGAATGCCTAATATACCCAACTAATGAAATGTTTTTCCGAACCGCAATGCCGTGCTTTTAGGTGCCAACGAATCTTCAGATGCGAACACCAAGATCGAGGCGAAGGCGCTTGCCTCCGCCTTACAGCTGCCCTTCGACCGGAACCTGGTGGCCCCGAAACTGGCCAGTGCTCTGGTGGTGAAAGGCTACTTCGACGTGACCACCGACGACATGACTAAGCTGCTCCACTTCTTCGGGCTGCTGGCGAAGACTGACAAGCAGCGTCGCGAGGTGTACAAGGACAGGCTCGACTTCGATGAGGTGCGTGTCAGGTTGGGCTTGTCCAGGGAGTCCAAGTCCGCGAAAGGAACCGGGCCGACGACCTCAGGCGATGCGGAGTCCACACCCATTGGCATCGACCTGGACGAACTGATGAAGGAGGTGGAAAACCAGCTGCACAAGGAGTCTGGGGAAACGGCGTCGGGTGGAGCTGGAAAAACGAGCGAATTCTCCGGCAGCAATGGCATGATGGAGTCCCTAACCGATTCCGACCTGCAGACGCTACTCCAGAACTTTAAGTTCCTTTCCAGCGAGGAGCAGGTGCATCTGATTGGGCATTTGAAGAAGCTGGAGGTCCAGGAGCCCACTCGCGTCGAAAGACTTCGAAAATTCGTGAACCTGGCCGAGCTGAGCGGGGACGGCGAATCTTGTAGTGACTTCTTGTCTCGTGTTGTGGCAAAGACGGGTGTCGACAAGTCATCAGCATCGTCGTCCCTTCGAGGAGGTGCCCTGACGGGTGGTGGCTCATCCTCGGGTGCCTCTGCCTCCCTGTCCTCCATGACAACGCGTCGGCGCAGCTCGGACCGGGAGAGCGGAAGCCGGGACTTGGCAAACCTTCCAATTAACAAGCCGAGATCGGTGGGCCGTGGATCGCCCTCCTTTGTCATTGATGACGACGAGGACGACGACGATGATGACTACAATTTTGATGATCTAGTGATGAAGGCTTGCGACACCAATGGATCCGCTGGAGGTGGAAAAAGGGCTGGAACCCCGTCCGTTGCGCCGACGGTTTCCTCGACGAATTCGCTAACTTTCAAGCCTGCAGCACCGAAGATTTCTCTCGCCGACACGGAAAGCATTATTGCCAATCTGATGGGAACCCTGAGCAAGGGGACGGGCTCGCAGGGGGGTTCGCAATCAGGTTCGGTCTCAGGCATGGGCTCGGCAGACAGAGGTGGATCGGTTCGCAACTTCAACATGATAAATCCGCAGCAGTCGGGTCAGGCTGTCAACCAGCAGCAGCAGCAGCAGCCGCATCCACAGCTACAACTCCACCAGCAGCAGCAGCAAATCCAACATCCGCAGTACGTGAATCCCAACCACGGCTATCCGACGCAGCAGATGAGCGGGGCGCCGGATCAGCATCCGTACGGAAACCAGCAGGGTTACGGGGGCTACCACTACCCAGGTGCCGGCGGCATGCAGCCCCAGTTCCCCGGGCATGCCGGATACGGAGGACCCGGCCTAAACCCCTGGACCAGCAACGATCCCATGCAGCAGCAGGCCCCCTACAACCAGATGCCCCAGGCCTACATGCAGCAGCAAGGGCACTACAACAACGTGTACGGCGGTCGCCACTAGACCCCCGCCGCCATAAACTAGGATTAGTGCTTAGCTTTAGCTCTGGAGTCACTACTGGAGTTGCGTAGGAGGGCCTACATCGAGAGCGTGTCCGTGCATGCTGTTAGTTTCTAAGTTATTATAAGACTCCAGTCTTCTGCCGAAACAAACTATTTGTTGTCAGGTTCGAGGACGCGGAATTGAAATGGACTCGAACGAATGTTGACATTTTCATTTTTGTTTTCCACACGCGGGAGCGCCGCAAACTAAAATACATAAAACATTTCAAGTGAACGTGTAACATTTGTATTAGTCCCTAAGAGCTAGAGGTAAAAAAACATACATTGTTTAATAATAAAGATGAGAAAAAACATTTCCGCAGATGATGTGAAGCCGCCAAACAAGAAATGGGGCCCACCGCCCCATTCTGTTGTTAACCCTATAAGGAAATCAAAAGATGTATCTACTTCGTTGTACATATTATTATTTCTGAGAAGCTGTTCCCCCACGACACCAGGTGCACCTTCGCCAGTCCAACTTCGGGACAACGGAGTACATTTGAAATACTTTTGAAGTGTCTGTGAATTAGTTGGCAGCAAAACTATTTTGTTAAAACTCAAAATAAAAATCAGTGAACCTAGTCAAGTTTCCAGCATGTCTCTTATTCAAGTGGGGAGGGGGATTTGGTTTTATTTATTCTTACAGTCTCATTATTTTTTGTTTATCTATTTAAACCCGGCGCCGGCGACAACCAAACCGTAATCAGCTCACATCACAGTTTATTCCTGGGCTCCATAATTAGACTAAGCTCCGGGCGCCTAACTGCAGTAGGGCAGGTGGTGGAAGTTGACCGACTGGGCCTTCAATATGGAAGGTATCTCCTGCTGCAGCAGATCGTGCAGCGACTGTCCACTGTGCTTGTAGACCCACCTGCCCGCCGCTTGGCTGCCCACGAAGTCGAAGCGCTTGGGCCCGCTGGTGGGGGAGCTGAGCCAGATCTGCTTGTTGGGCGTCTGCCGGTTGATCACGTAGGTGCCGTGCTTCTGGCCCAGGTTCACGGTGAGCACCCCGTCCTGCGAGAGAACACCTTGGAATCAGCACCCCGGGAGTGATGTAATAATGAGCCGTAAGCCCGTCAACTTACGCCGTACGCCACGTCGCTGCCGGGCAGGTCCTGTGCGTTCTCTGTCAGCTCCTCGAAGTAGTCGCAGAGTGCGTCCAGCGTCTCCGAACACACGCGTTCGTAGGTGGCACTGTCCAGGCTGGATTCCTCGTCCACTTGGCTGCCAAAGAGTCGCCGGTGCACTAAGCTTCCGCCACTTACCGGACTTAGTCCTGTATTTGTGGTGCCGGAAAGCTTCCCTTCTCCAGCGACGTCTGCAGACCTGGGCAGGCATCTAATCCTGGCCAAAATAGGTCTGTGGAGCTGCAACCGAGGGAGCAATCGGGCGGTAAACATATCTGTGGTCTGTTTATTTTTATGAACGGAAGAGCGCTGCCAACTGGATGGGAAATGTTGTTCAAACGGAACTTTTTACCGTATTGACAAAAAGCACACCCGTTGACTGATGTGGCAACTCTCAATTCAAATTCAAGGTTTGTAAAAAAATGGATGGGTTGAGACCCCATTTAGGCGGAATACCTCCAACGACTAGCTGTTGCTTTTTACATCACAACCGGGGCCATGAATTGTGGGTTCATTTTTCTTAATACACTTCCATTTACCCTTGGGTCAGCCATATGATCCACAGCGGAAGCCATATCTCGGCCACTATCCCTTTGATCCTTCAGCGGAATACCTTAATGGATTCGTAGTTCAATTCTCCACGATTCTGCATCAAAACCTAGAAACCAATTTTCGGATCCATTTTTTGTCAATTTTTCGAGGGGTCCCACCTAAAATGTAGGGGAACCCATGGGAGGTCCATGTGGTCCAGTGCGGAAGCCATATCTTGGCCAATATCCCTCTGATCCTTAAGCGGAGTACCTTAATGGATTCGTAGTTCAATTCTCCATTATTCTGCATCAAAACCTGGGAAACAATTTTCGGATCCATTTTTTGTAAATTTTCTATGGGGTCCCACCTAAAATGTAGGGGAACCCATGGGAGGTCCATGTGGTCCAGTGCGGAAGCCATATCTTGGCCAATATCCCTCTGATCCTTAAGCGGAGTACCTTAATGGATTCGTAGTTCAATTCTCCATTATTCTGCATCAAAACCTGGGAAACAATTTTCGGATCCTTTTTTTGTAAATTTTCTATGGGGTCCTACATAAAATGTAAGGGAACCCATGGGCGGTCCATGTGGTCCAGTGCGGAAGCCATATCTTGGCCAATATCCCTCTGATCCTTAAGCGGAGTACCTTAATGGATTCGTAGTTCAATTTTCCATTATTCTGCATCAAAACCTGGGGAACAATTTTTGGATCCATTTTTTTCAAATTTTCTATGGGGTCCCACCCCACCCCATAAAATGTAGGGGAACCCATGGGAGGTCGATGTGGTCCAGTGTGGAAGCCATATCTTGGCCAATATCCCTCCGATCTTTAAGCGGAATACCTTAATGGATTCGTAGTTCAATTCTCCATTATTCTGCATCAAAACCTGGAAACCAATTTTCGGATCCATTTTTTGAAAATTTTTCGAGGGGTCCCTCCTAAAATGTAGGGAAACCCATGGGAGATCCATAAGGTCCACAGTGGATGTCATATCTTGGCTAATATCTTTCCATGATTGGTTTAAAAGTTATAGCCCGACCCTAAATCATTTTGAGACCCTTGATTAGTGACTTAGTATTCCAGCTCTACTAGATTTAGGCCAAAGCCAAAGGCCTCGCTGACAGTGCCATACCCACAAGGTTAGTTTAGTTTTGTAAACTGGTCTACCTTTAATAATAATAATAATTACTTAGTATTATCTTACTCTGTGGAAAATAGCTGATGTACTAAAGAACATCGACTGAAACGTATGTACACAGTGCTGTACCTAAAGATAGATTTAGAGGATCCGGGATTTGGGATAAGATCAGGCAGTGGTGGCTTAGAGACACTTTCCCTCGTGCAGAACACACCAGTGGGGGATGACGGCGTCAGCATGGATTCCTCGGGCCAGAAGCCGTTCCCTGTACCGGTAAAATCGCCTTTGGGCCGCAAGTGCCGAGGATTTCGGATTGGACCACAGACGCTCGGCGGCAGCTCCGGCTCGCGGCCAGATTCGGGATTCTGGAAGAGATCGAGTACCTATACCATTGAAGAGGAGTAACCGGAAGTGTTGGCAACTTACCCAGGGAGTTCTGATCGACGTACTCGCTCCACATGCACACCTCTCCGCCGAGAACCTGGTTCCTGAGCTGAGCCACGGGCATGCCAGCAGAGTAGACGGCGCGCCAGTTGTAATAGGAGGTGCTGCCCCAGAAGCCGTGGTCCAGGTACCAGGCGTTCTTTGTGGACAGGATCAGGCGATAACCCCGCTGGAGCAATTCTCGGTTGAGAGCGTCCTGCGAGTCCACCCAGGTCTGGATGATGAACCGCTCCTTCGGTAGGTAGGCCTCAATGTACTTGGGGTCGGTCAGGTGGCTGGACCAGACGATTACCGACTTGGGCTCCTTGATGCCCGGGAACATACGCTCGGTGATCTCGTCCCAGGCGTTGAGGTTCCGCTGGTGAAACTGGGACCATAGTCGCAGAAAGCTCTGTTCGGTGAGGTCGAAGCCCCGGGCGCGCATGCCGTCCCGGATCTCTTCGGTGTTGTTCCAGCAGGGTAGGAAGACCTCGTCGCCGCCCATGTGCAGGGTCTCCTCGGGCGCGCCCACCTCGGCTACGTCCTCGAATATCTCCTTGAGCACGGCGTACATGTGGTCGTTCAGTGGGTTGAGCTGTCCGCACGGCGGCTGGACGCAAAACTTGCGCCACGGGACCTGGTTTAGGCACACGGACATATTGCCCAGTCCGGCGGCCGGGCCCCACTGCCAGCCGTTGCCAGCGTGGGAGGGCCCGTCGATCTCAATCAGGATGCGGATGCCGCGCAGGCGGGCATACTTGACCAGGTTGAGGGCGTCCTGCCGGCTGTAAGTCTGCGAGGACGAGTATGCCCCGTAGCGCTGCATCTCCGGCACCCGAGTGATCTCCAGAGGGAAGCTGTGTGTATCCACCACGTGCCAGTGGAGCACGTTCATCTTGCTGGTTGCCATGGCGTCCAGTGTGCTCCGGATAAACTTGAGGGGCACAAAGTTCCGAGACGTGTCCAGGAGCACGCCACGGTGCGGAAACGCTGGCCGGTCGGAAACGCGGGCGGCGGAGACCATGAGGAGGCCATTGGAGAGGCTGCCGGTGACAAGATTGGTGAGAGTCTCGAAGGCGTGCCTGGCCCCATAGACTGTCGGCGCCTGTATATCCACGAAGGTGGCCGTGTCCGTGGTCCGCACCACCAGGGCGTAGCTCTCGTCGGTGGCCCAGTCCAGGACGAGCGTCTCGTTGGCGACGGTGGACCGCACCAGGATCTGCTTGCTGGTCTCCAGGGTGCAGTTGCGCGTGCACTCCTTCAGCAGATTGGACACGAACAAGCGGTTCGTCTCGCGCAGGAACTGGGTGGCCGCCTCTCCGGGAGCCACCACATGGAAGCGCACTTTCCACGGGTCAAAGCGCACGCGCTCGTGCCCGATGAAGCCGGCTTCCCCGGTGGGCATGGGCCAGATGGAGCCGTACTTGCCGCAGGACAGCCTGCAGTCGCGCTGGCTCTCGAACCGCTCCACGGCGTACTGAAGTCCGGGCGTCAGCTCCGTTTCCGGCGAGCATATGTCGGTCTGGCTACACAGCCACTTCCTGCAAAAGGACACGCCCCGTCAGAAAGTATTGATGATTCTTTGGCAAAGGGAGGAGGGAGGGCAAACCAATGCACAATATTAACACTGTTACGGTGACAAGTCACTGGCTTGTCACCCTTTGATTAGAGAACCAGGTTGATAATGGCTCTTTGGCAAAGGGAGGAGGGAGGGAAGACAAATGAAACCAATATACAATATTAACTCTGTCACGGTGACAAGTCACTGGCCCCCTCGCGTTCGTGCCCTCATATAGGATCCGCTTCTCTTTCAATTAGCTCTAGTTGGATGCAAATATTTGCATTTGCCACAAAGTCTGGCGAAAGGCCACTTTTCTTTTCGGGCTGTGCACTGAGAAAAAAAAATATGGTTTCCCGGATCACGCTCGTTTCGGGTTGGAAACTTGTCCTTTCGCTTAATGGGTGGGGAAGATTTCACTTTTGTTTATTCTGCTGCCCCTAGGGGGCAGGGGATAGTGGTGTGGATGCACAAACCTGCTGGCGCTGCTGCTGGCGTCTGCGTCGTGGTCGGTGTCGGTGTCATCCGCCCGCGTCAGCGCAGCCCCCACCGCGAAGCAGACGCAGATCGCGAGGGCGTAGCATTGATAACGGTTGTAGCCGCTGGAGCGCATCTTCCTTTCTAACTCTGGGGGCAGGTGCGCGGCTCGCTTTTATTCCATGCGGCACGCTCGGAAAGCAAAACAGAACTGGCAACTGGGGCCTGGCGACTGGTGACTGGAAACTAGCAACTGACAACTGCCAGACGGGAAAGGAAATGAGCAGAGACACTGGGCAGTGAAAAAGCAAAATACTGAACAAGTAAAAAGTGAAAAACACTGAGCTAGCACTAAAAAAAAAAAAAACACAAACAAAAACCAAAACGAAATCGAATGCGAATGCGAGTGCGAGTGCGGCGCTCGCAGGTCAGTTGGCAAGCAATTTCACTTGCAGCGTGGTTGCGCTGCAAAGAATTGGAACCGAATGAACCGGGCCGCGCTGCAAATAGAGCCACCAAGCCGAGCTTATCGCCAGAATTGGAGACCCCAGGCCGGAGAGCGGAGAGAGGCTTGTGGCGAGTGGAGAGCCGAGACCAGAGACCAGAGACCAGAGACCGGAGGCCGACGCGAGTGGAGCCCGGAGGCGGCAGAGCCAAAGAGCACGCAGAGTGAGAGTCCCCCAGCGGGTGGACCTGCGGGCGGAGAGCCAGTGAATGGGGGTGCACTGAAAAAAGAACCTAGCGGGTGACAGAATGCAAACCTTGCCTGAATATCCAAACGAATCGGACATCAACCCCGCCATCCATCACCATTTCGGAAGGCACTCTAGATATGCAAACTACCGCACAGTTTCTCCCCGTGCAGCCCCACTGATACTCCCCCTTTCACTCGCGCTCCACCCGCCTCCCGCTGCGTGCCCCACATACGGAAATGGTGGGGTGACCGATAAAAACAATGAAATATAAAGAAGCGTAACGACAACTACACATATACGACCAAAGACACCAGCTTTGGACTTCGATTTGGGCACTGGAGTACTGGTCTTAAGCTCTCAATGAAACGCCCATGTGTTATCCCTCAGATACTCTCAGAGTATCTCAGAGTCCACCAGCTGGCTAGCAAAAGCGAAAGCTATTTTCAAATTCCATCAAATAGGGAATACCCTACCCTAGTTATATAATTTCCATAACGACTATCAGTGCTGCTGGAAAAAGGCGAGTTTTGATAAGACCGCAGTGCTCTGGAACCCCCATTGCTGGCTTTATGCCAACAATTTGAAAACAAATTATGGAAAAAACAATTCTGATATCTTCAGCAGCAGCAGGAGGAGGAGGATGGGCGAGGGCGCCTGGCCATTGTTGATTATTATTTCATTGTGTTCGGGATCACACAGCTATGTAGTGTTACATCCCCCGCCCTCCCGCCCGCTTTTTATTAATAATATGTATTATTATGTGGATTCCGATTCCATTTTACTTCCATGGGCGCCTTTTGTGCGCCTTCCAAATGAATTATTATTATGTTCTTGTCGGCATTGTTGTTTCCCCTGAGCATGTGTGTGTGCTGGTGGGTGGGGGTGGGTGTAGCTGTGGGTGAGTGGGTGTTGAAAACGTAAAATTATGATAATTAAAAAACGAATGCAGAGTGATAGAGATGGGTATTCAAAATAATTCTTCACAAATCCAGCAGAGATTTCATTTCAAATACTTTTCGAAAGTGTTTTCATATTTTATTCAAAAAATAAGGGCCTTTAATTTTTCCATCTCTAGCACTTGGGAATAGAATTTGGTCACATGTGGGTCCTTCAAAGACCCAGGAACTGGAGCTGGAGAATTATGTCGCACTATTTTCTGACGGGCAGACGCTTTCTGCACTTCCTGACACTGCAGGACAATGGGAAAGAATGCCAGGATAAACGGGTATAGTCGGAGAAATCCTCGCAAAGCTTTCAAAGTTCCCTTATTAGGATATAGCTGTTGGATTTATTGGAATTATTTTTAGAAAACTATTTAGTTTTTCATAATATTGTAAAAGAAAGGGAAGAGGGTTTCAGGCTGTCGTAGCAGATTATGATTTTGATTACATTCGGGTTGTGGGGAACCCCCAAGACCCCTTCTCCATGACGCCAGTTATTGGTCACGCCAGCTACCCATTCCATTCTTTCATAATTCAGATCAGCATCCGTGTGTCCAGTCCGTCAGACACTGCCCAGGCCCAGTCCCTCATTCAGGCTCTGTCGGTCCGTCAGGCGTCCAAGTCCGAAGCCCCTCTAGCCGCACTGCCCCGTGCCCCGTACCCACACCCACACCCACGCCTCTGGATGATGCTGCTTAGAACAATGCAAGATTAAAAAACTGTAACAAATTACAAGCAAAACGGCAAATAAATTACACAAAAAACCGAGACCAGAAAATAAAAAGGAAATCAGCATCAGCAGCAGGAGAAACAAAGGCAAACGCAAAAAGTTGCAGCCACGAGCAGGGGGCGGACTTGAGCAGGGGGCGTGGCTGAGGTCAGCGGCCCACGGGGGTTGTCATATGCATTCCAATGGAGGAGTCCTTGCTGGGGGTTGGCATGTGTGTGGCACAACTGGTTCCTGGGACTGAGACGGAACCATATTGAAATATTACATTGAAGCAACATGAACCCAAGAAATTAGATAGTACTTGTATAGTACTTTAGATAGGACTTATTGGAGCGATCTTCCTCTTTAAAATTAATTGCATTTGGAGCTTCTTTTCCTGATCAGTGGTGTTCGTTTTCTATACCCATTACACTCTATTTGCGAAAACAGCATGCTTTTTAAGGTTTACGACCAAGAAACCCGGTTCGGGTCGGTTAGTTGCGGAATAAAGTATCACACAGTCCATCAAAGCCTTTCTTGCGAGTCTTTTTGTTGTCTGCGATGGGCACAGGTGGCTGATTAAACGGTTCCCTCCAGGGCTTCAGGGCTCCAGGGGGTGGTGGTGTCGAGCCGATCGAATAAGGACGAGGCCACCCTCCTGCTATAGTTGTTCTTGTTCATGTTTTGCGAAAGTCGAACAATGCAAATTGCATGAATGAATGCCATTTTGCATTTCAATTCAATGCTCAGCCACCCACCACCTATCTCCCTGCCTCATGCCTCCTGAATCGAGTGTATCCTGTGTCCTGTGTCCTGACCCCTCGCCATGCGTTCCGGCCAGTCCGCACCACTGAGACCATGCACTGCATTCTGCTTTTCTTTTGATTAAATCAAATGCATAAAATGTTTTCAATTCAATCCAGGCAAAAACAGGCTGTATCCGGTAAAAGGACAGCGGTGAAAAAAGTTGTGGTCCTTGGAACCCCGAATGCTCTTTCCGTCTATTTTGAAAGAAAGTGCTATAGGGGTCTGGTACTCTAGTCTTGGAACCTCCTAATATGAGCTATTTATTAGCCCCCTGGGAGGATACTTTGGGCCAGGCTAGATCAGGAAGCCGTGCTGGGTAGGGTGAAAAGTTATCGGAACAGTTCCAGACAATGGGAGAGAGAGTGCAGGAATAAGCGAATCGAATCCAGAGTCGCCCATTTCTATTCTGTTTTTTATTTTTAATTTGTGCAAAGTTTTTGCCTCTTTTTTTTTGCACACACATGTGGTCTTTTTTGCCGTTGTTCTGCCCCAGCATGTGTGTTTGTGTGTGAATCTGGCTTTTTAATTAATTGCACTAACATCGCCCACAGCCAAGCCAGAAGCCACCCTCCCATCCCCTGCGGATGTTTTGTTTCTCCCCATCAACCCATCAACCATCAACTTGTTTTATTCTTTTTTGGCCTTTCTCGTTTTGATTTGATAATCAAACAATTGCTGTTCAAGTTCAAGGCCCTCCAAGTGCTCTTTGATTCACGAATCAACTTTGCTTTTTGGTTGACTTATTTTCGCTTCCATTCCTATATGTTTTTGCACCTCTGTGGCTCCGATTTCTAATTCGATTTCGTCGAATCCACAACGATAATATCCATACGGTCCAAAAGTCGAAGGTTCGGACTTCGGTGCTGAATAGGGAATCGCTTTACGTGTTGGTTTGTTATAGATCCATGACTCTATTCTTGATTTGATTAGATGTATCCTAGTCTATTAATAAGGTCTATCAAGTCTCACATCCCAAGAATGCACAACATTCCAAAGTCGAAGGTTTGAGCTTCGCATTTGCTGGGAATATGCTGAATGGGGAGTCGGCTTACCTATTTCTTTTTCATTAGGTGTACGAGTAGAGTGTCTATGAGATTATTAAAGAGACCTATCCAGTCTGTAAGCTGATCAGGATCTCCCTGAAGCTTTCTCCCCCTGTTCGTACCGCAATCTTTTATTAAAATTCAAGGATTTGATTAGAGTTGCGAGCCTTGTATTTCTATTTAGAATTTTCTTGGGGCTGCTGGCGAGCGCCCTTCTATTTCCCACTCTCTGACCCTTCACCCTCCCCTGCCCGCCCGCCTGCCTTCCGCTCTGCCTCTCATTGGAAGGCGCCAACATAATCAGGATAACAAATGAGATCCTTGTCGACAGTTGTTTGCTGCTTTTGTGTCAGTGGCATCGTCATCATCATCATCATCATGACAATGCACGGGTGCAGGGATGCAGGGGTTCCCGGGGAACCTGGCTGTCCGGATGCTAGGGGGCCCGGGGGGGGGTCGTGGAGGAGCTGGGGCTTCCGGGTGGCTGTCAACGTCTCTCTGCTTTCTGCCTGACGTTCTACATTTTTATTGTTATTATTTTTGCTGCCTTTATGCAATGTTTTGATTAATTTTTGCCGCAGCCATCTTGGCCCTCGCCCCCTCCTTCAGAGCTCCCACCCGCCCCCGCTTCTAACCCAAAACAGCCGCACCCGCCTCATTCCCGATCTTCGCGCCCCATCCCCCGCCCGCGTGCATTTGCTTGACTGCATTTTCTCGGCAGCTCTGACTTCTATACACGTGAAAAAAATGCTACAAGCTTGTGGCAAGATGGGCTGGTTAGCCTGAAACCTGGTGGCAAAGGATGTGCTTCCTGTGATTCAAATTTCTCACAGTGTCCTGGGCCGAGCGGGTGGGGAAAAGGGAACTCTGACTGCTCGTGATGATGGGTGCTTGGGGGCCGTGTGGGCGACGGAGGCGTGGCTGTTTTGTTTAGTAGTTTTATGGTCTCAACTCGCGGTAAACAATGAAAAATTCTGTCGCTGTTCATTGTCTAGAGTCGAAAAACTTGCGGGACAAGAAGAGCGACACAGGAGGCCGAGGATGGCAGGCAGCCAGGCAGGAGGGCGGGTAAGCCAAAGGACTAGAGATTGCGACGGGAGACCGAGCGTAGATTTCATAAATCAAGAAGCTAGGCACGCCAGAGCAGTCCAAGGATAATGAAAAATTATCAACCCGATGGCAAGCCGGACGAAGACAAAAAGGATTCAGGCCTGCCCCTCGGACCGTTTATTTAATCACATTAAAATATTGCATCCAGACTGTGGTCCACTTTTTTAGCCAATCAACTCTGGCCATCACAA